AAAATGCTGATTACATTGAGAGGATTTCATTTTGGGGGGCTAGCTAATGGGCCACCCTGCCTATAAATAATGTGTCATCACATCGAATTGCGTAATGCAGGCAAATAACGACTATTAGTTGTTGAATCGATTTAAGAGCTGGTGCCAGTAATTAATAGTCTGATTTTCAGACCATTGTACAGAATGGTCATATGTTTTATGCTGCTCAAGAAGTGGGTTATTGATGTAGTCAAAGGCTCATGTACCCTTTACAGCTCATTTTATGTATTTATTACCAAAGAAGAGAAAAGGCAAGTCAGTCACTCAATAGTGTCTGACAGTGAAGTATAGCAAGTAATTGGGTTTCCTTGCATAATTTGAATATGAGGACACTGCTAACATTTAACTTTCACAGATAGGACATACATGACATATATTCATTAATTCCTGCAAAGTTCTACAGAATTTGATGTTGGCTGCAAAAGGGACATAGTATCTTTAAAGTCTGAAAGCTTGCAGTGCAAATATTAATATCCTTGATGTCAACATATTGCATCAAACATAGAGGGCTACTCCCTCTGTCTTGTTTAGACTGATTGTCCATCATCAATGGCTAGAGGGATAGAGGTGGGGTCAATCTTGAGTGGTCAGAGGATGGGGTTGATGTCACTCACTTGTCTTGACTTAAAGGGCAAGACTACCCTGATGGAATAGATTTGTTTCAAACAGGGGTTGTATAAAATCATATTTTCAAAAATTAATATATGAAGGTGAATATATGATTGAAAATTTTCTTAGAGGAAAATATAGATTTCAGATTTTTTTAGAATGAAGGGATGTCTTATTAATGAGAAGAAAGAGACAGATTTAAATGAGAAGAAAAAGAAAAAAACGACAAGAAAACCGTGAAAAAATGACTAGAAGAAGATGAGGTTAAAAAAAAACAGTTTAGAAAAATTTGAGAACGGTCATATCAGGAAGGTAATTGGTGTTTTATGACTTTATAAAATGACAACCTGTCAATTAGATTGCAAGATGGCTCAACTGTTGGCTTGTCACCTGAGATAGCAGGGGTTGAGGGGCACCCCTCCTCTCTGATCAAAGAATCAAATTATCTGCAGACGAAGGTAACCTAATGAGTGTCTATTATTCAAAGTGGAAACGAACATCATTCCCCCTGGGGTTTAGGAGACTAGTAATTAACTGAAATTATAGGTTGAGATTGAATCACCTTTGGCTGTTCAGTGACATACTTTATCTCCTATTTATTTATCAGATATATATAATGATCACAGACTGCGTGTGTGCCCCCACCCATCTCCCTGCCATCGCACTTGTTCTTTTATTCAAAGTTTTCCATTTTGTATTTTGGCTCCACCCCCCCCCCCCCCCTCCTCCCATTTTGGTTGAAGTTGATCTAAGTAGCGAAGAATTTTTCTTCTGTGGAAAAATAAATTTATGTTGACATTGCATTGAAAAGTTTGTCTTTATGTTTCCAACACTATACCGTGTGAGTCAAACAAAAAATTACACCCAGAAAATTGCTAATTATTTTATAAATCATCTATGAACAGTAATTATTATTATTATACATCTTATGAAAGAGCGTTTTATCCCAAATCATTTGGTATCATTTTTGTGTGGTATGTGTTCACGCTTGGATGAACAGGAGGCATTGTTTGCGAGAGTGCAAAAATCGACTTGTGCCAAAGTGATGCCTACAGTATGTGAAATGTTGGGATTTAAGTGAGAGAATATATCACAAATAAGATGCATTGCATATGCTTTTTGCAGAAGCAAAGTCACACACACACACACACGCACAAATGTTCGTTGATATTTGATATTCAATATTTGATATGTGTGGCATGATTAATTTTGTTAGGGATTTCATTTGGATCTGCAACGACCAAATTGATACCCAAATCCCAATTGTTTTATTCTAACATCATATATTAAAGCAACTTTGGCGCAAGTCGATTTTTGCACTCTCGCAAACAATGCCTCCTGTTCATCCGAGCGTGAACACATACCACACAAAAATGATACTAAATGATTTGGGATAAAACACTCTTTCATAAGATGTATAATAATTTACTGTAGTGCCAAATACATTATGTTTTCAGGTTATCTATCTGTCATCCTTACATGTACATCGGTTACGTAACATCTGTCAGTTCCATTTCTTGTATTACTGTAGAACTATTGAATGGTTATAAGTACCGGTAGTCATTTGTCAGATAGATGGTTTAAAATACATAATGACAATTTTGAAGCTCGTGGTATTTCATTTACACCAACTTTGGCAGCTTTCCTTTTCGTTGACTACTTTATGCAACATATCCTCATGACCTCAACTACGAGAACAAATTTAAATTGCACAACTTTACCATAGACTTTAGTTCTGGTAAAAAGAAAAAAATGAATTCTCACAGAATCAAACGAAACTTACACTGAATGTTCAAGATTACAAATAAATGTCATTTGCCAAACAATTTTGGAAGAAATTGTGTACTGGCTGAGTAATGAGCATAGAAAGATAGGAAAATAAGGAGTACTAGCCCCGACACCATTTGTGTAGTCCCATATACATCTTTCTGTGTACAGTGCTTGTTACTTTACCAAGACTTGGCCAAATTTATTATGATTTTGATGACTCTAGAACCTTGCAGTGCACACCAATACTTACTTGCTACATGATCAACTTTTTCTGATCCATTCCACACCTTTTCTTTCACAATGCAATCGCATTACCAGAACTCACCTTTATCTTTAAATTAGGAAAAGGTTTAGATTTTTTAAAATTAGATATAGATTTTATTCAAAAATCTGTTTTCCCCCATTAAATCATGATTTCTTTCTGACTCGGCCATTCCTAAAATATTGCATCAATGCAATTCTACAGAAAATGTTCACTTTCTATATATCATAAGATTTGTTATAACTCCAGAAAAGATTTGTGCTATCATGGCAAGTTTAGTATCATACTAAAGAGCTTTGAGGTATTATTACTTTTTGTGGCAATTTGGGGGGATTTGGGTATTTTTTTCCATAAATTAACCTGACTACACATTAAGAACTGAAACTGGTTGTGCCCCTTCTTCCAAATGGAGACCTTTTCCTGGGTGTCCTCAGCTGACTCAAATTTTCATCATTTCTTTTTTAGGGGGTGACGTGATGTGAGATGTTTGGTAAACTTGGGGAACCTTAAGGACAAAACAAAACAAAACAAAACAAGTGGGTTGTATTCCACCTGATGAATGTGGACTGTACTGAAATGAAACCACAGAGAATCACAACAATATGTCAGTGGAAATTCAATTTTGGGAGTCAGGAAGCCTTAGGAAATTGACTGGATTTCACTTTCATTTCTCTTTTGAGTATTGATTAGCCCCCCCCCCCCCCCCCCCCCCCCCTCCCACTTTCAAGTGCTATTGAAAGGGCAGAAGTTGTCTTTTATTAAGATTATCTGAACAAAACAATTAATGGTATATGATGTTTGGGTACATTTATAATTTTGTTTATTGAAATTAATAGAACAAATATTTTTGGTGTCCTGGATGAAGCACACATGTAAGTTTATCGTGACTCAAATCTGGAGAATTCACAAAGATTTTGAGAATGAACGTAATATTCTTGTGTGGGTTACTATTATTTTTGCTTTTAACTTTCTTTCCCAATTTCATACTGAAGTAGCACAAGAACTTAATTATACAAGCTTTTGAGATGAGCCCCATACATGTCTGTGTGAATTTTCAAATTTATAATGTCAAGGTAACTACAGGAAAATACAAGCTGACTTTGAAATAAACCAGGTTATTTGGTAATTGTTATGTTCAACTAGAGTGTGTAGTCATTCAGAGCTCTGTGTCCCTTAATTTTTAGAAGATTGGACACAGTGTAGTGCGGTTGTCTTTGTAAGACTTTATCATTCTACATGAACCTCTGTATACTATGCAGTATGTACATAGCCTAGTGTGTCATAAATATTGGTACATGTTTATGCCCTCCACTCACTTAGGGTCAGACAGTAAGCAAAGGAGGTGTCTACAGTCATAGAGGTACAAAGAATGCCATGGGGAATACCCTAGGCAGCCCTACCCAGCTATTCTCAGCCTCATAAAACTTGACTTACCCATCTTGTTTGTATTTCTTCTTCATCTTGAACACTCATCTCCATGCTTCCTGGCATATTAGCAAATTTCCCTCAGCTTGCACTACAATATTGAAGTTTAATAGAAGAAACAATCCCATTTACTTTGAAAATCGGATATCAAATCAGATTTTGTGTGTGTTACAGCCAGATGTTATGCTTTTATATTTAGAGTTTAGACATTATTTCAGATGTAGGAAGCTTGTTTTGAGGCACCAATATTATTTGTTTAATTATTTATTTTGTTTGAAAATTGATTTAGAAATATCATCATGGTTTCTAGCATTCTCTTTTCATAGGATTTGAAAATGAAGAAACTTACAAAACTATAATAGATTTGCTGGAAAAAATTATACTAATACCAGCAAATATTACAATCATCTGTTTCTACTTTTTTTATTTTTTTTCACATTGATGATTGGAATAATTTGAAACCGTAGTAGTTTGCTATACAATGATAATTTAAAAAAAAAAAAAAAACAATTAAATGTTTTTGTATAGCGCATGACACATAGGCATAATTGCATGTCTCTATATGCTTTACAGCACAGAAAAGAATGATATGTGAAAAATCAGCATTACTTTTTTTCTTCTCTTCAATAATTTGAGTCCCTCTGTCTAGAGATTGTTAAGTTTGCAAATGCTACTTTTGTCTTTTTATTTGCTTTTATTTAAAACATTTTCTTTTTATTCTTAGTTTTTAGAAACTGTAAATCTCTTTTGGGTACAAAATATAATGTGTGATTACATGTACCGGTATTCTAATATCAACATCCTTTACATGGGCACTGGTAAAAGTGCACTTGGTCTGCTATTATATAATTTCATATTGACTTTTTTCTTTTCTTTTCTTTTTCTTTTTCTTCAGGCCTCCCTGGATGGTTCCATCACATTCAAGTTAATACCAGCTGATATTGATACAAAGAAGATACCACATAGCCAGGTAGGGCAGGCAGTACACATTCAACAGCCATACTGTCATCTATGTAGAGTATAGTTATATTATTTTATTTTTTTTGAGGGGGGGAGCAAGTACATCTGTGATCCATCACAGCAGTTGAAAGTTACAGCACTAATTACAAAATCACCACGAACATGGCAAATAGAATTTATATGCCACAGGGTTAGTAAGGTAATGTTTAATAGAAGCTTTAACCTAGGAAATATGAATGATTAGTGTGTTGTGATTTTTTTTAGAGTAGACAAACTAAGTTTATTTAATAAAATTTATATACCCCCTTTAGTTCTTTAATACTTCTTAGGCACCTCTATAATTCTCTTGATTTTAAAATTAGGAAACACAAACCCCCGAAGCTCACTTTACTTGCATGTGTCTGCTGAGTCTGCTCACTTACATTGTATGATTGCATTCCTTTTGCCTCCACTCATTTGCATGTGACATAGCAGAGCCAAGCCACTACCACACCCCTGCCTCCCTTTGGAGCCTCTGTTGCACCCAGCATATCGATGGAAGACTTCACGGGGGCTGGTGATTTTGGCAAGGTTTGTAGCTTATGCTAGTCAAAAAGGGGTTATCTACAAGTAGTTCCCTGAACAAACAGATCGATGCACATCACAACCTCAGTCTACTACACTCCCCCACATGGACAACATGATACTCTTGTATGTGTAGGGACACTGATTTTTTTTCCGTTTCAGAAAATCTGGAATTCCATGAATTCCGTTTTGCCACTGATAACCACTCAAAAACATTCAACTTGATGCAAAATACTAGTGAAAATATACGAAAAATTATCAAATGTTTAGATTTACCAATTTCAAATTCGAACTTAGACAAAAGACTAAAGTTAGCGGAATGTGTCAGAACACAACATATTCCTGACGGAAAGATACAGTAGTACCGACGTCGACGAAAACATTTCAGTCTTGGCTGTCATGTCAGCGATCGATCGATTTTAGGCGCACATGCCAGCCCCTTTTTCGAACTGTAAAACAGTGTGTGTACAATCTTGCCGCACTTAGCGCCCGCTGCTGGCGTATGTGTGCCTAGTATTGGGTCTATGTAATACTAGGCACCTAGCTGGCATAATAGGATCAATTTCGCTGCTATTTTTACCCTGTTTTGTGTCACAATCTCTATTGGTCCAGCGAAAAAAAAGAATCTGACGAATATCGCTAAATATTCGGAATATTAACCATGATTTTAAGCCCGATATTTTTTCACTGCATAACAAATCACAAAAATAGTGTAAGTTTTACGATTTTCTTCTTGAAAATGAAAAGTTTTGGGGTGAAAGGGGTTTTCCGCGACTTTCCGTTCGAAATTGCATTTTCCGTTTCAAATGGTCATTTTTGTGAATTCCATCCATTTTCCGTGATCGCGGAAAATCAGTGTCCCTATATTTGATCTCATTCTTCAAGTTTTTGTAAATCCTTTAATTATGAAGGCAAGTTTCAGGGATTACAAATTTAAGCTAATTGATGGTAAATTTTAGACCAAAGGCTACATGCTTAAAGTCATTTAGGTCAATGGATTCAGGTTTTAAAAGTTTCTTCACAATGGTCGGGTCTCTTCAACAAAATTATAGGACAGTAAGGTTCCTCTTGCCCATATCTGTTTAGTTTCGGGACACAGTGGACAAAAGCAGCAAACCTTTTACAGGTACCTATTAGGCCCAGAGCTTTATTTTTTTTTCCTCAGAACCCACCAATTTAAATTACGTCTTCATGGTTAGTTATGCTAATTTGTGCAAATTGTATGCATTTTGGTTGTATTGCATTGGCAACCAAATTCTAGCTCTTAAGAAATGCATAGAGTTACACATGTTTATTCTTCTCCACAAACTCACAAAATCAGATTATTTTCATGGTTAATTATGCAAATTTAGCTGTCACTAAGGCTTAAATTGGTATTGATATTTTATCTCTCAAAAATACTGTACATATGACATATAACAGGGGAAAAAAAGAAGGAAGAAATGTTTTTATCGGTTCTGTCCCCAAAATTTTGTTTAGAGACCTTTGTTACAAATTGGAATAAATCACTTTTTTTCCCCCAGTTAGTCATATGTACATGTATCAGAAGACTAGATTTTAGAAGGGATGCCACAAAATTTGCCACCAGTTGAGAAGAGCTGGGGTAGAATATTCTTTACCAGGTGAAATCACCCAAAGATCATCAATTTTGGATAACACAATTTGATTCTGCTGCTGTTTTGTGAGGCAATATTGTTTTCAAAATTTACAGCGTTTGTAAATGTAGTCATGTTTAAAGGATTAAGAATGTGCACATGACGGGCTTCCCATTCAATCAGTTGTGTTGACAAAAGCATAGTCGAATAAAAACTCTATTTTTGAGAGATAGAATATCAATACCAATGTAGGCCTTAGTGACAGCTAAATTTACAAAAATTTGCATAAATTTGCATTTGTGGTGAAGAATATACATACAAACTGTTTGCATTACGAACAGCTAAAATTTGAATGCCAATGCGATACCATCAAAATACAATGAATTTGGATAAATTAGCATAATTAACCATGAAGAGATGATTTAGATTAGTGGGTAGTATGGAGATAAATAAAGCTCTGGCACTGATTAGAACCTGTAGAAAGTGTGGTGCTTTTGTCAGCTGTGTTCCCATGTGGGCCTAAAGAACTTGACTACAAGTGTTTGTCCTGAAAAATGTCCAAGAAAGTTTAGGATAGATTTTATATCACAAGTCAGAGGTCAAAGGTTTTGGGGTTATCGTTTTGAAATTCATGAAACTATACATGTTTCAAATAGGGCTGCGACGAGTACTCGCACTGTTGACAACTACCCAAGTGCGATTTCTTGTACTCGAATATTAGGCCGCAAAAAAAAAAAAAATCCCGGTCACCTGGCACTGTCCAGGCAGACGCTTACCCGTGTCAGGGAGAGCGCCGGGCGCTGGCATGGTACCGTCGGTAAAAATGTTTCCCAGCTCAATCACTTTCAAACTCACCACTCAGAAACTTGGACCAAATGTCCGGATTTCTGTTTGAACTCCAAGGAAAATAATCATTCTGCCATCTTTGGTTGTTAAAACAGAATTGTTTACTGTTATTATTATTATTAAATCGGTGCCTTCAACTGCAAATGGAAGTAAAACTGTGTGAGTTTTCGGAGACGGACCTGGGATACTGCTCCCGTGGTATGGTGGTGGCAAAAAAAACAACAAAAAAAAAACATGGCGTTCGAGTATTCGCTTGTAAGCCTGGGAGTGTACTCGGGTACCTCATTATTTGGTTGTGCACAGCCTTAGTTTGAAATATGTGTAATGAATGGATTTGAGAATGCTGCTGAGAACAATGCTGCATAATATTGAGGTGCAGTTGTCAATTGCTTGAACACTTTATGAGTCATGGTCAATACTGTTTGACCAAAATCTTCCAAACTTGGCATGAATCGTCATTAACATTAGATGGTATTCATCCTTACAAAACAAAATTGGGGGCATAGAAGAACATATGCTGTATGTCTTGTTTTGTCAAGGTAAGAATGCATGACTAACATATGCACACACATTCACAAAGTAGAATAGTAAAATACTAACCTATGTAAGCTGTCCCCTACCAAGCATTATCATTAGGTTTGATATCACTTGCCCAATTGGTAAACAAATTAAGGATTTCAGACTGTTCTATTATTATGGGCAATTGTTGTTGCCTAGCTGGGTAAGTGAAAATTATTAATATACATGTATACCCTACATGGACACTTGCATACCGGTATATTATACATGTACTGTATTTTCATGAAACTGTGTATGAAATTTATTGTTTGCCCAGTGCCAAAAAAGGAAAGGGTTCCCTCTGTTTTCCCTTTTATTCTTCTTTTTTGTAATAATGTAAACAGTATCTTAAACTATAGGAGATTACAGATTAGTTTTTCTCTCCGTTTTGGGCTTATTTGGTGCCAGGAGCAAAAGAACCAGGACAAAATTGTAATTGTTAATTCCCATACAGACATGAGGTGGGAATATGCTCTAAAAACTATGCCAGAGCACTTCACATTTCTGTATTGGCACACAAATATCAAAACTTACATCTAAATGTAGAAGTTTAGGGGCTAATGTTGGGCATGGCTCTTTTTATCCCCTTGTCGACGAAGTCGGAGGGGATATATAGTAACGCTGCCGTCCGTCCGTCCGTAATAAATTTGGTTTCCGATCGCTAACTTCAGTTATGTTTGACGGCAGCGCTCAAAATACACGGGGGCGATGAGCTCCATAATCGCCTCCGTCAGGTTGCTCACTGGGGCGATTGCAATATTAAAAATCGCCCCCGTGGAATTATAAAATAAAGATTATCTTTTCTGATATAACTTTAACACAATGTTGAGTATCATTTTTCAAACCTTAAACCAATGAAATGGAGCTTAGATGGCGCTTTCTCTCCCATCTTGTATTACCGATACAAACAACAGAAGCTCGCAGTGCAGCTAGTGCAGCCGTCAGCAGTGACTATACTGCCCCGGTAGTACCGGTGTGCACGCTGACGCCCAATATCTGCTGGAGCTGGAGACGATCGCGTAATGACTCAAACATGGAGAAGTTTTTCGTTGTGAAAAGTGTGAATCCTCTGAAATCTGGTTATTCTAAAAGACCAGCAAATAATGTAACTCGACCAGTAAATCAATATTGAGAAGAAGATCACCAAAGATGTTGCAGGGGTGGATCTAGGTGATTTAGGGGGTTTAACCCCCCCCCCCCCCCCCTCCCCCCTTGGGCTGCCAAGTTAAAATGTGATGTGCGTAGAAAAATGCTATCATGTGTCCAGACCTACACAGTATTAGTAGATATCAGTAGATGCCAGGAAAACATCACTAACGTGGGTTCAAAATAGCGCCAAAAAAAAATTGCCTCGCCGCTTTGCGGCTCGTGGACGGTGCTCCACATCGTATTTTGGTTACCCCCCCCCCCCCCCCCCACCCTTATCAAAAAGCTAAATCCGCCCCTGTGTTTTGGAAGGATATGGTAAAGACTAAAAGTAAAGAAAGAATGTAAGTAAGGTTGCTCCGAATGATGAGGAGGACATTTTGTGCAGAACGGGAAGAAATGGAGAGAATGTCATCACGGGGATAAAAGTCAATAACAGTAATGTAACAAGTAAATTTCAGAGAGAGAAAATGCCGACTTAAATAAATAATAATAATAATAATAATAATAATAATAATAATATTTAATTTGTATATAGCGCTTAATACAAATGTCTCTAAACGTTTTGCAAATATACTATTACCAAGGAATTTAGGAGTTTCATGGGTACCAATTCAATATCTGTGAGAAAGCTCACGGGGGCTCTTTTTTTTTTGAAGAGCCCCCGTGGGCGAAAAATTAATTTGAGCCCTGTTTGACGGATTTTAATGAAATTTGATATGAAGGTACATGATATAAAAAAACAGGCTAAGTTTGATTTTGGAGTAAGTAGGTCAAAGGTCATAGCTCATTAAATATGCAAAAAAATACACATCTGGTTTCCGATCGATAACTTTAGTAATGTTTGAAGGATTTTAACTCTTATCATGCCACAGGGCTACCGGTAATCCTCCCGTGCCAGGTTGTTTTGGAGATAATCTGATTAACATGATGGTTCTATGAATAGCAAGTGCAAAATACACAGCACAGTCCAATGAGCATGAACAATAACTGCTATTATGAATGCTGCATTGCACGCACATGGCACCCAAGCAATAGCTCTATCGCATGTACAAAGCACTATAATGATAGCGTGCATGCAGCCTTATGGCAGGCTATGAGTTAATGAAATTTTATATGAAGGTACATGGTATCAAAACATAGCCGAAGTTCAATTTCAGAGTATGTAGGTCAAAGGTCATAGATCATTAAATATGCGAATCTGGTTTCCATTCGATAACTTGAGTAATGTTTGACAAATTTTAATGAAATTTGATATGAAGGTACATGGTATCAAAATACATGTACAGCCTAAGTTTGATTTCTGAGTATGTAAGTCAAAGGTTAAAGGTCATGGCTCATTAAATATGCAAAAACACCTAATTATATATGTGAAAATGTGGTTAACTTCCTTGCCTAGTAGTGTAATAGTATAGTCCAATGGAGGTAACTTGTTCTGACGTATATAGGCCGTTCCCTGCGAGGGGATGCTACGCTTTGCGTTGACTTGTTGTATATATTTTTTCTACAATGTTTCTTTATGCCATTCATATTCTACCTCATATTTTTAAGACAGTTTACTACTGGAGCGATGTGGTTTGTTTGTTGTTCAAGCGACACTGTTTTGCTATTTTGAACCCCCGTAAGTGGTGTTTTCCTGGCATCTACTAACATGCGGATCATCGTCCACGAACCGCAAAGCGGCGAGGCAATTTTTTTGGTGCTTTTTTGAACCCCCGTTAGTGATGTTTTCCTGGCATCTACTGACATCTACTAATACTGTGTAGGTAGAAACGCGGTTTCAGAGATGTCTAGTTTAAAACACGGTTGCGTTCAAGCGATTTTTCAAGCGGAGTGGAGAATGTGCATACATTGTGTGCAGGTAAGCCTGAATCCGATGACCGGGGTAAAAATATATCTGTAAAGCGCTAAGACACATCATTGTATCCAGGGCTCAAATTATTTTTTTGCCCTCGGGGGCTCTTTCAAAAAAAAGAGGCTCTTCCAAAAAAAAGAGCCCCCATTTGTTGTTGCTATTTTGAACCCCCGTAAGTGGTGTTTTCCTGGCATCTACTAACATGCGGATCATCGTCCACGAACCGCAAAGCGGCGAGGCAATTTTTTGGTGCTTTTTTGAACCCCCGTTAGTGATGTTTTCCTGGCATCTACTGACATCTACTAATACTGTGTAGGTCTGGACACATGATAGCATTTTTCTGTGCACATCAAATTTTTCCTTGGCAGCCCAAGGGGGAGGGGAGGGGGGGGGGGGGGTTAAACCCCCTAAACCGCCCAGATCTTATGCCTTCTTCTTCTCAATATTGATTTACTGGTCGGGTTACATTATTTGCTGGTCTTTAAGAATCACCAGATTTCAGAGGATTCAAACTTTCACAACGAAAAACTTCTCCATGTTTCAGTCCTTGCGCGATTGTCGATCCGCGAGCTTCCGTTGTTTGTATCGGGAATACTGGTAAAGATGGTAGAGAAAGCGCCATCTCTAAGTTCCATTTCATTGGTTTAAGGTTTGAAAATTAATACTCAATATTGTGTTAAAGTTATATCAGGAAAGATAATCTTAATTTTATAATTCCACGGGGGCGATTTTTAATTTTGCAAGCGCCCCCGTGAGCAACTTGACGGGGGCGATTATGGAGCTCACGGGGGCGAATCGCCCACCGCCCCCGTGTATTTTGAGCGCTGGTTGTATCAATGTTTTGGGCGCTATATAAAAATGGAACATTATATCATATTATAATAAATACGGATAGAAATATACGACATACGTTTTGTCCATGCGCCAAGCTACTTTTTACGATTTTTAGGACTGTTTCTGCTCCAAAAAATCTTTGGGGTTTAAATTTAAAGGAGTTTGAAGGAGTGGCCGAAAGAGTTATGGCCAGCAAAGGAACAAATTGGGCTGATGATGAGCTGCGAGTGCTTCTCGTATTCAAGGGCAGAGCCGGAGTCGCAAGAAGAGGTGTATGGTATTCACTGCAACAGTTGACAACACCAGCATAAGATTACAAACTCGGCAATCTTCAAACACCATAATTGTAGCAAAAAAATATACAGTAAAGTAAGAATTTCCAGACAGAAAACAAAATAAGGAGGAGTCAATCTGGTGGAATATGATTATAAATAGAAAACGAGTGGATGACGTGAACAATTACTTAGCTTTGTCTTTGATTTCCAATCATAGCATAGTGAACGTAGTTGTATATTATTGTGATCTATGCTCAAAACAGAAGGCGACAGGCGACCGTTAACAAATTCAGAAAGCGCGCGCCGAAGATGACCTATACTTCCTGGGTTAAACCACACAGTGTAATGCTCAGCTTGAAATGAGCGAGAATCAGCGTTGATGGAAAATCGCTTGAACGATCTTCCACAGTAACCGTGTTTTGTGATTCTAGCTTCAAAAAATCACTTGAACACACCCCAACTATACCAGCATTTCACTCCTTCCACCCACACAAATTTAAGGAAAATCCAACCTTGATAGCAAATTCTTTCAAGGACAGCAGAAAATCAGAGAAATATGATTTTTTTTTGTTAATACCGGTAGAGCAGAGACTTTCATCCCAGAGTTTCCAATTTTTTTAGTTATTTTTAATCCTTAATTGTTATTGGAGTTTGCTCAGACTTTTACTTATGTGTTTCTCTCATTTTTCTGCTTCTATTGTACTAACCAATTTCATATCGGATGGATTCTGCTTCCTCTTTAAACAGTTGAGTGACTTTCCTTGAAGCTTTTCAGAAGTCCTCCACTGAAAAATCTGCTTTTATGAAACCAAATGATAAATTAAATGCAGCTTAGCCGAAATGATATAGTCCAATGATGTTTTTTGATTTCTAGTAGAAATATATTGTAGAATCTGTGCCTGAAGTGAGTCATGATATTGAAAGCAGCAGAGTGAAGTCTTGCATCTTCTCTTTCATCAGATAAAGATGCGAGCCCACTTTGACTATGATCCCTACAAGGATGAGCTGAACCCCTGCCCTGATGCTAGTTTATCATTCAGGAAAGGAGACATCCTCCAGATAGTGGACCAAGGTGACCCTCATTGGTGGCAAGCCAAGAAGCTGGGAGAGAAAGGATTAAGGGCTGGACTTATCCCTGGTAGACAGCTTCAAGAAAGGTAATGATAGTAGTAGTCAGACCTCTACCGGTATATTAAGACTGCACAAGGGAGACAAAGAAAGTTCACTCTTCGTGGAGAGGTGGTAGAAAAACCTGGTCTTACTATATATACTACACTTCAAGTTTGTAAATCATTGACTCCATATATCATTTTTCTGGCTGTTTGTTATTTTAAACGGGGGAAAAAATGGACATTTGTTTATATACAGTTGTTTATTCTATTACATTTTTATTTTTGTGTGTGTCACGGTTATTTTCATCACAAAGTGCATAACATAAACCTTCAATGATTTATTTGTTTGAAATATTAAAAAGTCAGATTTTTGTGACAACAAATATGTTGCCTTTCTTTTAGCTCACATGAGCCAAAGGTTAGTGAGCTATTGCAGTCACTAGTTATCCATAGTCAGTAATTTGTTTACAATACGGGCCTGATAAAAACCTGATTTAAATCGGTTTCCCAATTTTTTTTTATTTTTCCTGATTTTTCCCAATTTTTTTTCTTCTTCCCGATTTAAAAAAAAAAAAAAAAAAATCACATTGTTTGTTTTTTGTTTGTTTTTTTGTTTTTTTTTACCAATTTTTTTATTTTTCTTCCCTATTTTATCCTGATTTTCCCGATTTCCCTCTTATTTTCTCTATTCTTCCCTATTTTGCCCTATTTATTCCCAATTTTCTTACTCGAAAGGGGGAATGTTTTTAGATGCCATTTTTTCACCACGTATCCTAATTATTTTTTTTTACTCAAGGGGGGCATGGTTGAGGGGAAAGCAAAAAAATCTATTTTTTTTTTAGTGCTCACTATCACCCCTGTTACAATATCAACTTCTTCTCAGGCAAGGGAGATCTTAAGTTGTTCAAATATGGTATGTACCCCCAAGCTGGGCCTGGGGGCAATGCCCAGTGGCAGTAATTGCACATTTTCTTCTTCTTTTCGGCTGGATTCTTACCAAAATTTGTGGGAATCACCTTGAGGGAATGGAGATCTAAAGTTGTTCAAATGGGGGTGTATGCCCCTCAAGGGGGCTTAGGGGCAGCCTTCAAAGTCCACCATCCAAACAGCAACTTTAAAATGTGCACATACAGAGTCTTGAAAACTGTCAACATTTTTTTTTTTTTAAATGTTCCATTTGAGTGAATGATAACTCTTCCAATTCCCTGTTTATCCTCATTTTTTATATTATATTCTGATTGATCATGAGGTCTAGATATGATTTCATACCAAAATGTTGGTATGGATTTGGGCTAAATATTGTACAAACCATTTTTACGTGAAGAAGACCTAAATTTGTTTGAATGGCCGGGATAGCTCCCCCAGCAGGGGACTTGGTAGCAGCACCCCTACGTTACCCTACTGTTCCAATGAACCCTATGTTCCTGCTGCAAATGGGATGGGAGCTATGTCCCTTATTCCAAGCCTGCTACGCTCACCATAAGTGGTGAGAGTAGGGGGATGCTGCCCCCAACCCCCTGTCACTGACTAACATGAGTGTAAGGTCCGCATACCTCTTTTTTTTAATCATTTTTGTTGTTGTTGAGTTATTCCAGTACTGTAATTCTTTGATGATCGAGCCTTCCATGTGCACGCAATGGTATGTTTATTGTTTGCTATTGATTAGACATACTTCACCTGACCCTCAAATCATTATATCGATCAGTAAGTGGTAATGTGTTACTAATGTATTCCATGTAAAGAATTTTTTTTTTAACTTTAGGAAGTATTCCGTGCACTTTTGATTTTAAGAAATTTGTGAAGTCCAATAAAGTAGATTTTGTGCTGCAGCTCTGTCAAAGAATACCTAAGATACCTAAGAGTATATTTTGATTAATAAGTTAATTACAGAAGTCTTTTGTGTATATTTCCAGGAGGTTGTCTAACCGGCGATCCATCATAAATGGGAGTCTCGGCAGCAATTCATCTTTAGATTTATCATTCAAAAAGAGTAGTAAGTATCTGTGACTTTAAAAGAAAAATAGGGGGGGATCTGTGATAAAAGATTTTCCATGGCAATCAACGTGGGATTTCAGAACAAAAGTGGATTTGCTGAAATATCTCTATTCCCCACCCCCTCCTTCCTTTCAATCCTTTTGTGAACCTTTACAGGCTAACTATAAGTAGTTCTGAAATGGTTGATGCAGTTCAGGGAATATGTCCAGATATTTTCTTGTCTTTGCAAAGCAATTCATTTTCTTCCATCATCACATTGTGTACTATAATAAAAATGGTAGCTTATCAGCACAAATAATTTCTTTCTTTTAAAGGGACTTGGTAGCATTGTTCAGATGAGAGAAAAGGGTGCTAAGGTAGTGACTTCAATGCTAGATGTACAATTAAAGATAATCTGAAAGTTTGAGTGAAAACAGACCGTTATTAATGATAATAATTGGGGAAAACTGATCTAATCGATTCCTTGATTCTCCCAACTATATTATTACCCTTTAATTACATTTTAGGTGAATGTAAATCTTCACAAAGCAATGAATTGGCGCTGCTCAGTGGCTGCCGGGCTCACGATCAATTGGGCAAAAAGAATTTCTGTTTCGGTTTAATAAAATTTGGAGTGGACTATTAGGCTATTATTATTATTATTATTTTTATTATAAACCCTTCCAGACATTTAAGTGTTGAAATATTTTTAAAAGGCTGTCTGATGTCTTATTTTCATGGAAAAACGGTTGGGAGAATTTACTCTTAGAGGGTGTCGCACAGTGACCCCTTCAAAGAAAACCATAAATTTCTTTATGGTTTGAGAATTTTTTCAGGATTTTTTGCATGTCCGAGGGTTAATACAGTAAAAGGAATATAATAAGTAACATTTCATACAAAAATTAGAGAAATTTTTTCATCAACCTTCAACAATGTTACCGAGTCATTTTAAAGGGGAAGTCCACCCTGATATTATGTTGGTTTTAATAGAAGCAGAAAAATGAGAGGAACAATTCAGTGAAAGTTTGAGCAAATTCCAAGTAAAAATAAAAAAAAGTCATGACTTTTCGAAGTTGTGATCAGTCTGACACTAATTGGCAATTGTGACGTGTCTTGCGAGCTCCCCTCCTATTTACTCTGTACTTTTTAAAAATTCAGAAATTTTGATTTTCCCTCAAGCAAATTTGCAATCATACATGCACCCAAAATATATATATGTTTTTTGTATTATGTGATTTGTATTGGTCATGACATAACATCCTTTAACAAACACCCTTTTTTCTTTTTTCATTAACATATTTTGAATATTTATGAATTTGTAAATATAATGCATCAAGTCTTTCGTCTTCTTTGTGCATGATTGATCGTCAACGAAACGGAGTTAAGTCTTTTGCCAACTCCGCTTGTTGCTTCGGCAGGCAGCCAGTGAAAACAAATTTGTTTAATCAAACTATGGAAATGCAAGCATTACTTTAAAATATAACTTTGTTATTCCTGGCTCATTTTTCCTGGCTGATTGAGGTGAATTTGGTACCCTCTCTTCTAGTTTGTTTAATCACTCATGCGTGAAATATGCATCATATGAGTTGCATAAACTGGAAGAGGAGGATCTTAGCTTTACAAGTATGTGTCATTTATTAATTATAATTGTGATGAAGTTATGATAAAACATCAATAATTCTTGGTTTTGTTTTTTTCAGGGACGCACTGTATATATTTATCAAAGGGATTGATGATTTTATGTACTTTGTGTTCAAAACGTGTACATGTGCTTTGATTGTATCTGTTTTGATTAAAGGTGTGAGAATCAATGTCAGAAGTAGTTTCAGAACAAACAAACGGAAGGTCAAGAAAGTCATGTATCATGCAAAACAGAATGAAGGTAATGATTATCTTTCTTGCTTTTTATTTGCATTTGTCTCGGGCCCCCTTTCTTAATCTATCCCTCTCTCTTCTTGTTAGTAATACATTTCTTCTTCTTTTTTCTTCTTTTAATTCTCAATCTTGCCTCAATTCATTCACCCTGTCTTCCTGTTTCCTCATTTTTAATATTCATTTAATTTTTTTGTATGAGATACATCAGAATATTAAATTAGGTAATTTTGACCAGAAATTGATTGTTCCACCATTTTTATGTTGCTCATCATTCTCTCCTCTTTTCCGCAACAGATTATGACAATGAAGAAGTTTTAACCTATGAAGAGGTAGTATTATACAAACCGCCTCCTTCAAGACCCAGACCTATTGTGATTATAGGTAAGACCAGTGCACCTTTATATTTATCTTCTGACCTTTTATCTTTAATCCATACATTATTTAAACAAAATACTAATTAATTCACTTGGGTTTTCTTCACAAAAAAAATCTGAGTTGTAGTCCTTTTTCAGGTATAATTTATTAGAAGTTACAGACCACGTATCAATACATTTACCCAATGTTAGCCAATGAAGCTTAAGCTTCAAAACTAGTTAAAACATAGCGGAAACCTTGATTAACTGGCTGAAAGTGGGATAATGAAGTCATGCTTTAGTATATCAGTATTTCTAAAAGATTATAAGTTGAAGGGCTTTGAATGAATTTAAAGGTCTCCATTTCAACAGTCTTAATACACATGTACATGGTATATCAATTCAAATTTAAAGGTATTATTTACTATTTTTTTAATTTTTATGTTGAAATTTAGTTTAGTTATTAATTTAGCATAGAATGTCCTAAAACACATCTACATGTATGAAGTTTTTAAGGAAAAACAGATCAAAATTTCAATTAATGATTTTAATAGTGTCCTTATTCATGGATTATGGTCACAATTTCATTGTACTGTAATACTTATAACCCTAAAATCAAGTAGAGATAGAATTTTCAGGTTCCCTACCACAGTTGCCAATCAAAACATTTAAATAGTACAGTTAAGTGTCCTTCGAAAGCTGTTGCAAAAAGCAAGAAACTACTTCAAGCATAATGCATCTTTTTTTTATGTTGTCTGTTAATGTTCATTTCTTTTTCTCCTGCTTAGGTCCTCCTGGAGTTGGTCGTAATGAGTTAAAGCGAAGACTCATTGCCTGTGACCCAGATACTTTTAGCAGTGCAATTCCCCGTAAGTTGTACATTTTCCCCTCTATTGCTCATATTAGAGTAGGTTTTGTCTTCTCCAACATTGAATACATCTTCTTTGTTCATCTTCACCTGCTAGGTGTATATTCCAAGTATAGAGCCGGCCATGGTAAAGTTAACTATGCGATAACCCGTGGCCACCAGAGATTGCTTTTGCACAAACTAGTATCCATAAAAGTAGCTACAGTTGATATTTGCTTTCTTCTGATTTTTACAAGGAATATCTTCCGTTAAAAATGTGATCATTTATTGTACTTTGCTCTGGAAATTGGACATATGATGGGGCTGTTGCGTAAGCTGTTTAGGCTGTGATCGTGTGATCATGGCTGGCGTTATGGCTTGGAAAGGTGTAGGAGGGTTACAGGGCAGTTATGCTAGGCATGATGTCAGCATACATGTAAATGTAGAACATATAACACATTTCTATGACTTACACACAAGACAAAGATTGCCTAAGTTGTCACATTTCACTCAGTCCTGTCAAGGTCGACTTGCCTCTTGCCTAATTTGCCTCTTTAATCTTAAGTGTCCCCTCTATCTTGTTTGACAAAAATAAAAACCCACTACCAATCATGCAATTAATTTTGCATGTATGCTCTCAATAAAAAATAAAGAAAGAAACTTATTCTTTACCGGTACTTTTCTGCCCAAAAAGAGTTGGGAATAAGAGGTGGTCTTCGGCGTCAATTTCTCAACAAAACCATGATGTAGCATGGGGGGGGGGGGGGGGGGAATTGTAGGTGTGGTTATTTCCCCCCAATGAACTAAAGCTAAACTAAAGAAACATGAGCAGTCATGCAGTTAAATTCAGTTTATTTATTTTCTGACTCAAACCTGCCTGATTGAGAATTAATTCAGTAACAAATTGGCACAGATTATTTAGAGTGCCATTAAAAATGAGAAGGATAACAGAACCTCTTAACACAGGTGATATTCTAATCTTGCTCTATCTTAAATAGATCCCGATGTATTTGTAGCAATCTGAGAAAAACTTGCTCATTATATTGAACCGTGAAACAGATACAGGTAGATATTAGTGCTTATGATTTCAAACATTTCTTTAAACTAAATTGTTGAGCCTGGAAAGATAAACCATTTTGAATTGTTAGTCTCTGTATGTCTTGTACCAATATCAGGAAAACTTGCTCAGTATGATATATCAAGAAGCCAAATGATTTAGGTATACTGTAATTAACGGTGTATAAACCGCCCTCGTGTATTAACCGCACCCCTCTTTTTCGCCCTAAAAAAAAAAAAAAATTCCCAGAAGCTGTCGGCAGCAAGCCAGGTCCGTGTTAAAAAAAAACATGCGGAAAGGCCTTTAATTTAACTGCGAGGTGCAGCTGAATATGTAAGATCATTAATGTAAATTAAAAAACAGTAGAGGACCTAGGATAGAACCTTGTGGTACGCCGTGTAATAGAAGAAAAATTGGAGGAATTATTATTATAAACTACATATTGAGATCTATCAGATAGATTACTTTCAAACCAAGATGACAGACAAATTTGAGTGTTGTTTTAGTTTCCGAGTGGTGAGTCAACACACCGATTACTGAGCTGGGAGACATTGCCAGGCATAGTGCTAGGTGGAGGGGCATAAATCGAAACTTTTTCTTTTTGGTGTACCGTGTATAAGACGCACCCCCGACTTCGAATTTTTTTCGGCGGCAAAAAAGTGTGGTTATTACACCGTTAATTACGGTATATTGTATCAATTTTAGGGACAACTCATTCAGTATACCAAACAGTGAAATAGATCAGTATTATTTCATTTGGCTGCTAAGATTATATTACCGGTAAAGCCCCAGTCCCATATAAAGCCGGACCAGCACGGACGAGCACGGACCACTCCGGACCATCCCGGACCATGGTCTGGGGTGATCCGGGATGGTCCGGGATGTTTTGTTCAAAAAATCGCTACCGCCGACCGTCTCCCCGGACCCAACACGGTACCACTACGGACCGCCCCGGACCGTCCGGGCATAGCCCCGGCAGCAGTACAGATCATTCCAGACCCAGCATGGAGCCGCCACGGACCGTCCCGGACCACCACGGTGCCAACACGGATGGCACCGGACCATCCCGGTGCCAACACGGATCATCCCGGAACGCCCCGGTGCTGGTCCAGGGTGATCCGTGTCGCCACCATGCTGGGTCCGGGATCATCCGTAGGGGCGCCGGGGTGATCCGGGGTCAATAACTCACTCCCGGACTGCCACGGATCAACACGGACCGCCCCGGCGCCACTAAGGATGACCTCGGACCCAGCACGGTGGCTACACGGATCACCCCCGGATCAAACTATTGTCCCGGACCGTCCCGGACCACCCCGGCAGTTTTTGACCGTCAAAAACATCCGGGGTCGACTCCCGGACCGTCCAGGACCATCCAGGACCACCCCGGTGCCAACACGGTGTCAACACGGACCGAATCCCGGATCACCCCGGATGGGGTCCGGGATGGTCCGGGACGGTCCGGGCCGTATATGGGACTGTAGCTTAAACAAAATCATAGAAGAGGTGTGTGTCATGGTCTAGTGGACAAGTCACCGGACTTTGATTCTTACTTTATGATCAGGGAAATCAAAGTCTGATCTTAATATGCTCATCTCTTTTCCCTCTATCTTAATTGGAAAAGGCAGCATTTAAAAAACATTGAAGACACAGACATTAGATAATGGGAGTTTTTGCTGTGTTTTTGTTGAAAGATGTAGGTGGTAACCACTCTAACATTTTCAGGATGATGTCTCCTCTCACCCACCCCCTGGAGCATGCAATATTTGTTTATGTCATACCAAAAGACATTTCCACCATGGCTTTTCTATTAAAGCGATTTGAGTGAGTGATTGAGAATTGTATTCTGCTCATCCTAGACACTTCTCGACCCAAGCGCATCATGGAAGAGGATGGGATGGAGTATTACTTTGTCTCCAGAGAGGTGATGGATAAAGCAGTGGAATCCAACCGCCTCATAGAGTATGGGGAGTACAAAGATCATATGTACGGCACCAGTATCCTAGCAACCAAGAGGGTGATAGATGAGGGTCAGATCTGTCTTCTCTGTGTTCATCCTCAGGTAAGAAGAAAGCGTGTTTGATATGGGTATTGATTGTATACAGTTTAGTTCAAGAGATACGCCCCTCATTTTCCATGGTGACATATTCCATTCAAAGAAGGTTTACATGTAGTTAGGTATGTAGGTGCAGAGATGACTTCAGACGCCATTCTAAATGTACACTTGCAGTGGTATGCTTTGATTCCTGATTTGGTTCTCAAATTCCTATGACACAGCTGTTTCTTATTAAGAATGATTTTATCTAATCACTTCAAAACCCATTACATAATGTAATTATCTTCTCCATTTTTCCTTGTACAAACTAGAATATATCATCTTTCTTTGTAACAAATAAAGGAATGATATAATCCTTTACATACATGTATGTGTGTCCTATTTCTGAGTGAATTTTGAGAAGAATACACTCTAAAATTATTAAATCACATTGTAATGACTTATCTTCCCTTTTAAATGTGCAAAATTACTATTACAGAATTAACGCAACAGTGACTTATACAAGACTATGCCTGTGGCGAATCACTAAAATTTCTCGGAGAATATAAATGATAATGTTATTCGGTTCTTGTATAGCGCATATCACATTATACACCATCTCTATGCGCTTCCAAAGAGCTTTGGAAATTATTACCCTAGCTTTAGCTCCAGCAGCCATAATCAGCGCACAGTGCATTTCAAGGAATAATCCTACCAGGTACTCATTCACCTCACCTAGGTCGAGTGTGAGAGAATATCACTCCTGGGCGTAGGCTTGCAACACTATCAACTTGAATCAAATCCTAGCCTAGTCTAGCCATAGGTTAAAGAGTCCCAATATGAAAGATAAACTGACAATGAATTAACATTTGACCATCGTTAATGCCGGTTTCTAAAACACCTGGCAAATCATTACAAGATGCATTAAATTCAATATATCTACTCTTTTGATGGAACTTGTTTTGAAAATGAAGAACCCTGTGGAAGGGGAAAAAATAATTATAAAAAAAAAAAAAAATCTACTCTTTTTCTATGAATTTATCTGAGATCTGCTTACCATTTTATGTACCTAACGTACCTTATAAGAGATAAACCTTTGATTAATGTCTATGACCAACACATGAATATTTGTTTGTTCATTACTGAGCAGTTCAACATTGGCTACAATTACATTGCCTTTTAGTGCTAAGCTGTTGCATGGCATTGTTTAGTTTTACATTCCTTGTGACTGATACAACTATTGCAGGCTGAGGTCTATACTTACTTTCATATGAAAATTTGAAACCGTCATGTACCAAACAAAATTCCATTTTTTTATTTTCATGTATTACAGCTGATGGAGTTATTGAAAGCCTACGTCATTAATACTTGAAATGGATAAATTGTTTAACCAACAGACAGAGATTCATACAAAAGCAACTTCTGAAAGAAGTTTCAAAATTTTCCCCTCGTGGTATTACCCCTACCATAAACACCAACACAGAATCATACATAGTACTCTTTGATCAAAACATTGGTGAATATTGTTTAGTGATCAATGTTTTAATGATTAATAACTGTTTCATATGCTTTAATTTACACCACATCTCAAGACCTTTATACATTTTATATAGATACAAATGAATTTTCATAGAAATATTTTGGTTTCTCAACCAGGCAAGTGCATTTTTATGATTTCTTTGCTTGTCAAGTATAGTTTTCTGTTTTACCAAAAGATGATACATGTACATGTATAAAGTAATCTTGCATGAGCTCTCAGACTGTTGTTTCAGTTGCATTGTGTATCTATGTTATGGATATTACATTTATCTCATGTGCTTTGAAAATAGAATCATCATTTCTCCACTTTATCATATGCACGTACATGATACATTTTTATATTTTAATCATGTCTTTCACATTACCGTTATTTTGATTTAGGCACTGCGGATCTTAAAGCAGTCTGAGCTGAAGCCATATGTAATATACATCAAGCCTCCATCAATAGATGTGCTGAGAGCCACAAGATTGTCCCGCAAAGCAATGGTCACCATGGAAAAGTCACACACAAGGCCTTTTGCAGTGAGTAGTGTCATATATTCTTTTTATATACTGGTACTAGGGTATTTGTAAGAGATTATCCTAAGGACTGAGAAGCTTTCATGTGCAGGCCTGATAATTTCCTGATTTAAATCGGTTCCCCGATTTATTTTGATTTTTTTTTTTTTTTTTTTTTTTTTTCTTCACGATTTTATACAGATTTTTCCCTTTTCTTCCCTATTTCTTCCCAATTTTCTTACTCAAAAGAGGGGAATGTTGAAATATGCCATTTTTTCCCCCTAATCCTCTCCTTCTTTTATTTATTTTTTACTCAAGTGGGCTGAGGGGGAAAAAAAAAATGGTTGTTATGAGCTATGCATGTTTGCACAGACAATGAAAAACGGCAAGTTAAAGAAAACGTTTTCTCCAGATCAGTATTTGTGTGAAAGATTGTATGAGGGTGTGTACATACCATGTTCTTAGTGATTTCCTAGAGTTTCTTATTAGAAGTGCTCATTTTACTGTGATTTTTTTTTAAATTGATTGTGGAAAGTTTAGGGGAATGTGAGCAAATACTAAATTTCCAGAGATTCTAAATGTCTGCTTTATCCCCCACCCCCCCCCCCCCCCCTCCCATCAATGGAACAAATAATGAGTATGCATACAATACCAACAAACATGTGCTTGATAATATGAAATATCCAATTTTTGACTACCGGTACTGATATTGAAATCTATGACAAATCTATTTCCTTGCATTAATCTCAAGGCCATCGTGTGTAATACACATGTTATTAAAGTATAAATGTACTTTTTTTATGTTTGAATGTTTCAGGATGAAGATCTTGTGAACATGGTCCAGGTTGGAAAGCGAATGGAAGCAATGTATCAGCATTACTTTGACTGTACCATCACTAATGACAACCTTCAACGTACCTTCATGGAGCTGAAGTCAGTTATCTCCCGTGTACAGACACAGGAACAGTGGGTCTCTAGCAAATGGCTGAGGTAGACTTTGATCCTGAGACTATGGTCTTATTTGCACATGCTAGACTTGGACTGCACATCGGTTTACATGCACAGATCAGTTTAGTTCAACACTTCAGTCTAACTTGCTCAGACTAGCTAGTGGTTGAGATAGAACAAAATATATCTTTATAAAAACCAGCATACACTGTATATCAACAATTGTTCCTGATAGACAAGGACTACACATCTATAATCAAGCCTGCACGGAACTAGAGATAGGCCAAATTTCAAACATAACTAAAGGACCAACTGTTTGTCCCCAAGTTGAGCAAGGAGTATTTCAGAAAGGACCACTCATTATAACTTATATTCTGAAATTACAAGGATAAGTGCATGCATTATTCCTCAGTTGAAGGAAAATAAAGCCTTTTTATTGTGTGCTCCATTTGCATGTTCATTGTCAGTATTATTGATCCTATTCACAGACCCTTTTATTGCACCTTTTGATCTCCACTATCCTTGAGGCTACAGACCTCTAACAAAGTTCTTGTTTAAGAGGAGTATAATGAAAGTTGTACCCTCAAAAATTACATCTTCATGTTCGTATCCAAAATAGATCAGGTTACAAAAATGTTGAAAAGGTAGTGATTTTTTTTGCTGAATTTGGAATAGTTCCGTAATTTCCCATAAATAGTTCTTGCCTCCTAATTGTATCTTGTATTTGATTAATATGTTTTTTTCTTCATCTCCATCCAGCATACCAAGACTATACTGTGTTATTAGATTAAAATAATTTGAATTGATTGGAGGTGTTGATTACAATTTTATATGTGATCTTCATCTTACAAAGTTATAGTTATTTGTAATTATTTGGGAAAGCTTTTGAACCTGAAAAGATTTAGAGATAGTACTTAGCACATTGCATTATCTTATTCAGATTGTATAACCTGGGGGGTGTTTCACAAAGATCCCAAGTCGTACTTAACTCTAAGTTCGACTTAAATATTATGGAGAGCCATTTGTAGCCTTAAAATGAAATATATTCAAGAGCAAAAAATCAAGTATTGTAGACTTGTCATAAATTCCACATCAAGAACATGAAATCTCCATGATAGTAGAACATACAAATGATTCGAATCAACATTTTATGCCTTCTTAAATAACTTTTACAAAATATTTTCATAGATGCTAATGGCTTTCCATAATTTTTAAGTTAAACCCTAGGAACTTTGTAAAACATCCCCCAGGCCTGATAAAAACCAGATTCAAATCGGTTTTCCAATTTTTTTTTTTCTTCTTTTTTTCTCCTGATTTTTACCCTCTTTTTCTCCATTAATAATAATAATAATAATAGGCATTTCTATAGCGCCATCTATCTAGATAATTCTATTCCGAGGCACATTTATTATAACCCTCGCTTTAGCCTATTCTTCCTTATTCTTCCCTATTTTTCCCTATTTTCTTACTCAAAAGGGGGGAATGTTGTTAGATGCCATTTTTTCCCCTGAATCCTCTCTTCTTTTTAACTCAAGGGGGGCATGGTTTTTTTAGTGCTCACTATCACCCCTGTATAACCCATACATCTTGCATACAGTGTTCTTAGAGTGTTCCAGATAATTGCTCCCCCTCAAAACAAAGATACAAACAAAAATGTGTCAAATGCATGCATGTTGTTGTATACAGCTGCAATTGTAGTTGTCTTTGTGTATCTATGTAATTTTTTTTAAATCTATGTAAAGATGCTTGATGTGATTATTTGGTGCTTTTGAATTTGTTGAGGTTCATTCAATGTAGATCATGTAAAGTGAGAAGATTATATCAGCTTTTGGAAGTTAATGTTTGTTGCTGCTTTTTAAAAATTGTACGCCAATAAGGACCATATATCTATAGAAATGAGGCAGCTAGACACATTTTTACTTTTAATTGATCAACAAGTTTTAGATTATTCAGGATGAAACATTTGGAAATGTGTTTTAATCAAACTGAACCTATTTTCATCAGTTTAATCAAGGCAATTGTGTACTTATCTGTAGAAGCCGAGTCAACTCTTTTTGTTACATATTCTTTCCAAGGAAATATAAGGAATGGGTGAAATTTCATACATTTGTGAAAGATAGATGGAGATATATTTTTTAAATATAAAAGTGTTTATTCCTTGCTGCTCTTGTACCACACAGTGTTTTCTCCAATTAGTTCAGTTCAATAATAAAAGTCATCTAGACAACCAGTTCAAGGGATATGTGATATAAGTGCATTTATGAAAGGACAGTTTTCAGAGGGTTCTATGTTTGAAACATGTTGAGTGTCATTGTTTTTATGAAGATTAGCTCATTCTTTTGATATCAGACTCCCTGCATGGACCTAGGAGCACCTTCTGAATGACTTTGCTTGGCATGCTGCAGGCAATACTGGGGTGCTTCACTCAATATTTGGAGTGAAAATGAGCTTAAGTAAATGCAAGCACTTCCCCCTCCCCCCCTCAAGTTACATGTATCTACAATATTCAGAAAGCACCTTTTAGTTAATTTACAATGAACGATGCTACACAAATGTACCCAAACTGGAGAAATAAAAATGGGAAATAAGTTTATTTTGTAAGATATTTATGGTAGGCATTAAAGATTAAATCCAGAAGGAAATTATAGTTGTGAACGAAGAGAATATAGTGCCTTTAATTAACAGTGCTTTTTAAACTTGAAAAGATAAATGATAAATAAGAAGGTGTATGTACCTTGTAACAGATGCTGTTGGTTCCCACGCAGCCAAGATATTGATACTACTGCAATACCAAGTCTGCGGGACAATTATTAGGTTGTGCAAACATTGTAACACTTCTGTGTGTATGCACGCAGTGAGTAAGTGAAAAAGTTTGAATAACAAAATTGTAGATTATACATGTAATGAGTGATTCCATGCAATGTGTCCTGTACGACACAGTCTGTTTTCCACATATTCATTTTAACTTGAAGAATATCTTGATATGACCATGGAATTATGGTGCTTTCTGGTATCACAACCATAGTCTTGGTCATGTCTAGAGATTTTTCATTCACAGATGAAATATATGGATAAATGTACAGAATCACCCTATTGTTTTTATTCTTGCTAATGGTTTGTATAATTTTATTTAATGTTCATCTCATGCTAGATTAATTTTTAATGTTTTAGGGCTTTATGCAATATACAGAGTATTTTCTTTTCTTTCCCTTTTTCATCATTTCTATACTGCTTTCTTGTCTCCCCTGACCTAAATCTGTCATTTTTTTAAAAAATTCTGTTCTCAAAGTTTCTATTTCTCTATTTTATTTTAAATTATATTTTTCCTTATTTATTTTCTGCTCTCTCTCTCTCTCTCTCTTTCATTCTTTTTTTTTTCTTCTTTTCTTCTTTCACTTTATTTATCCACAATCTTTTTCAGCTCTTCTGTTTAAACTTTCTTTACCACATCCATCTGATCTATAGATTTATATTCAGGCACTTACATATTCCAAGTTTTAGAATTGAACTGATGCATAGTGTTTGTAGTATAGTGGAAAAGGACAAAATGGCAGCATGTCTGTTCGAATTATCTTTATGATACTGCAATGTCTTATACTGAATGTTTCATGAAGCCGTTAACCCAGATTTGAAAAATTAATGTGGAGAAGCTCATTGTGTATCTTGAGTAAAATTTGTAACATGTAGAGTTGTAACTGTATGCTTTCCAACTGTAATTAGGTTTCCAGCGTCATGCATCACTGTCTTCAAGTTTTGTGAAGAATAAACCAGTTCGTAATTAGCATATATTACAAATGACCCCAAATACCTACAGATCTTTTAAACTTGGATAGGTGCCACTTTGAGCATGTAGAAAAGTTAATGCCATGGTCATGGAAGTGCTTCATGAATACCTTTGCCCATTTGAAAAGAATACTTCCTTGTGTGTATCATGAAATGCACCATTGGTGTATAAATGAATAATGATTTATAACTTTCACGAGCACCATCCAGTGTTCATTTTGTGGGTTTTACATTTTGGTACAAATGACCAAATTCTGCTCATGTGCAGGATTGTATGTACGAACTGGCTCATTCCAGTTGGCTGACTTTTCTGTAAAGGCTAATATGCACTGTGTGTGTGAGGGGGGGGGGGGCGTGGCACTGTCCACCTCCTGGATTACCATTAGTCATATAATCATTAACTGATTTGCATTACGCTTGATTTTTTTTCCTCTAATTGTTATGATGAGATGTAAAATAATAGTCATCTCTCTGCTTACTTTCACTCTTATATTTCACGAGAGTCTTGTCTTAAATTTGGAAACATATGGAGAGAAGGTATCGACAGGTATGCCTTATCCAAGAAGTATGAGCACAATTAGGCCTGTGCTCTCCTAAGATTCCAATAGTCGAGTTTCATGTTGTGTGAAGTTCTTAAGATTAAAGATTGTGTCTGGTTGCTCAAAAGAAACAACTAGCCATAATATTGAATGTGAGCTAACCATGTACAAAGCTAAGCAGAACTTTGGTGCTCAATGGTGCATGACCTTTTAGAAACATCAAGATAACATTGAAAAGCCAAGAAATTAGTCTTTCAGATCATGTGAATTTCATTGCTGGTATATATACAGGAATTGTTCAAAGTAGTTGGGTACACCTAGGTACACAGTACACAGTGATGTACAATAGTACGACAGATATACATGTATGTATATAATCTCTGTTGGGGGGGGGGGCAGGGGTTCATAAAAACTTTGGCTATACAAGATGTGTTACTAACATTGTGATAATCATCTAATAAACAATAAAGAAATTCATGCTTTAACACGACCTCACTATCGTTTGACTGATTAATTAATGAGACACTTTCCTGTGATTTTGGTTGTGAATGAATGTTACTTCTTCCAATGATTTTATTGCATTGTGTCGGGAACCGGTATGTGGGTCTTTCTAATAATTATTGTGCGTGCTACATCTATGATCTTATATTGTATTTTATCAAATTAGAGTATTCTGTGGATTCAGTATGAGAAGAAATGACATTCAGACAGTTTCTAGCCTACCAAAAGGGGCTTGAAAGGTACCAAAAAGGAGCCCAAGTCAGTGGTCTCTTCCAAATTTTGTTTCTTACTTGTTGCTTCGTACAGTCAGGTGTGGACCAACTGGGGCGAGAGATATGAACAGGTTTCCCAAAGGCGACGGCAATAAAAAAAAAATAATCATCACTGTCGATTCAAAAGTAATAAGCATGTTTAACTTATTGAAACTTGGCGATGAGTATCATTGGGAGCCAAATAATATTTAGGTAAACTATAGGTCAAAGGTTACCTTTAAAGGTCGACTGAGGTCAATTGTTTTGTGTCCACAAATCGTTCTCGCTCGATGGTTACACTCTTGTACTTATGAATTAGGCCTAAATCATCCAGTGTTTCTTACGCCAGAGACTGTCTTTGTACAGTGCGTCCCAGAAAAAACGAAACCGAGAATTGTCGATGTTTTATCATAACTTAGTCACATTTATAATCAATAACAACTGGATGGTTGCTATACAAGACTCTTGAGAGCAGCACTAAATGTCAACTGGAGTGACCATATGACCAATATTGAACTGGATAGGGACATTACACCGATCTCCAGGCGCGGATCCAGGATTTCTTAGGGGGGGCCCACTTTTTGGGGGGGCTCCCCAAAAAAAAATCACAACGACTCAGCCAGCCGCTGAATAAGCGGGGGAGGGAGGAGGGGGGGGGGGGGGTAAGAGGACACTTTTTTATGTTTTTTGGTCTCAAAATTTGAAAATTTGACATTTTGTTCCGTTGGGGGGGGGGGTGAGGTCACCTTTTTTAGGTCAGCCATTGGCATAATTTTTATTTTTTTTAATTAAAAAAAAAACATCACAAAAAGGGGGGGGGGGTTGCTCCAAAATACACACATAAAAAAAAACTGAAGGGGGGTTCAACCCCCCCCCCCCCCCCCCCCTGCGTACGCGCCTGATCGTCTGAATACAGTTTTTCCCCTCCCGCGCGAAGCGCGGAAGCTTTTACGTTTCATTAAATCATTAGATAAAGAAGACGATTCGTTGTACCGTTTTTTACTCTTAATCCTCGTCTAAATTCACCACCCTCCCTCCCGCGCAAAGCTCGGAAGCTTGTACGTTTCATTTAATCATTAGAGAAAGAAGACGACTCGTTGTACAGTTCTCGACTTTTAATCCTCGTCTAAATCCAGTTACCCCACCTCCTGTGCGAAGCGCGTAAGCTTTGACATTTGATTTAATTATTAGAGAAACAAGACGATTCGTTGCACCGTTCTCGAAAATAATCCTCGTCTGAATACATTATTCCCTCCCGCGCGAAGCGCGGAAGCTTTTACGTTTCATTAAATCATTAGAGAAAGATGACGATTCGTTGTACCATTTTTGATTCTTAATCCTCGTCTGAATTTCAAAAATGTTTTTTGTCTGCTCGTTTTTCTTCATACGTGCTCTTCCTTTTCTCTCCTCTCTTTTTTTGGCCGGCGTTTTTTTTTTTGGGGGGGGGGCCACTGCCCCCTGGCTACGCGCCTGCGGTCAGATGAACATCTTTTGATACATTGTCCGCCCCCGGAAACTCATGGGTTGAAGGCAAATTACGGTCAGATAAGCATTCAGGGGCCGCCTCAGGGCACCTGGTGAGGTCGAGGGTGCGGAAACCCTTGAATCTCAGGGAAGCGAAGCGCGGAAGCTTTTACGTTTCATTAAATCATTAGATAAAGAAGACGATTCGTTGTACCGTTTTTAACTCTTAATCCTCGTCTAAATTCACCACCCTCCCTCCCGCGCAAAGCTCGGAAGCTTGTACGTTTCATTAAATCATTAGAGAAAGAAGACGACTCGTTGTACCGTTCTCGACTTTTAATACTCGTCTAAATCCAGTTACCCCACCTCCTGTGCGAAGCGCGTAAGCTTTGACATTTGATTTAATTATTAGAGAAACAAGACGATTCGTTGCACCGTTCTCGAAAATAATCCTCGTCTGAATACATTATTCCCTCCCGCGCGAAGCGCGGAAGCTTTTACGTTTCATTAAATCATTAGAGAAAGATGACGATTCGTTGTACCATTTTTGATTCTTAATCCTCGTCTGAATTTCAAAAATGTTTTTTGTCTGCTCGTTTTTCTTCATACGTGCTCTTCCTTTTCTCTCCTCTCTTTTTTTGGCCGGCGTTTTTTTTTTTTTGGGGGGGGGGGGGGGCCACTGCCCCCTGGCTACGCGCCTGCGGTCAGATGAACATCTTTTGATACATTGTCCGCCCCCGGAAACTCATGGGTTGAAGGCAAATTACGGTCAGATAAGCATTCAGGGGCCGCCTCAGGGCACCTGGTGAGGTCGAGGATGCGGAAACCCTTGAATCTCAGGGGTTTCAGGCATTTGTTTACGGTGAGATGAACATAATTTTATACCTTATTTGTGACACTGGCAGGACACTTATTGGCGTGAGGTCCAGGAGATAAAGGGATTGTAGGCGTTTAATTACGGTCAGATGAGCATCTTTTGATACATTGTTCGCCCCGGAAACTCATGGGTTGAATGCAAATTACGGTCAGATAAGCATTTAGGGGCCCGCCTCAGGGTACCTGGTGGGGTCGAGGGTGCGGAAACCCCTGAATCTCATAGGTTTCAGGCATTTGATTACGGTCAGATGAACATATTTTTACACCTTATTTGTGACACTGGCAGGACACTGATTGGCGTGAGGTCCAGCGGGCGGAGCCCCCAGAAGTTCAGGGGTTTTAGGCATTACATTACCGTCAGATTAGCATCCAGTGGGGTCCAGGGGGCAGATCCCCCGGAAGCTCAGGGGTTTAGGCATTTGATTACGGTCAGATGAACATATTTTTATACTTTATTTGTGACACTGGCAGGACACTGATTGACGTGAGGTCCAGCGGGCGGAGGCCTCAGAAGCTCAGGGGTTTTAGGCATACATTACCGTCAGATTAGCATCGAGTGGGGTCCAGGGGGCAGAGCCCCCGAAAGCTCAGGGGTTTAGGCATTTGATTACGGACAGATGAACATATTTTTATACTTTATTTGTGACACTGGCAGGACACTGATTGGCGTGAGGTCCAGAGGGCGGAGCCCCCAGAAGATCAAGGGTTTTAGGTACTAAATTGCGGTCAGATGAGTATCATGGGGCCTGCCCAAGGGCCCTTGGATGTGTCCCGGGGGGGCAGAGCCCCCGGAAGCTCAGGGGTTTTAGGCGTTTAATTACGGTAAGATGAGCAATGAACTATTTTTTCTTTCTTGCTCTCTTTCTTTCTATTTCTCTTTAAAATACTTTTCCAAACGAAATTGGGGGGGGGGGGAGCTGGAGGCTCCTGATCCCCGCCGTTCCACGGGCCATGACATGTAGGCACCTCAAGAAGCATATTTCTTGCCTGGCTGTTAATTTACAAACGCATACAAAAGTATAATTTACTAAAGAATGAGGGAAAATCTTGGAAAATTATGTCATTTCAGCATTATGTGTAAACCACCGTTATGAAATAAGAAATAAACCACGTTTAAATTTTATTTCCCCCGAGCCCCCTCCCCGATCAATATGCCAGTGCCCCGCCCCCCCCCCCCGATCTACACTTTGTTGGCGGAAAAATCGCAACTGATCTCCCCTACCTTTCTATTTCCTTACTTCTCTCTTATTTTTTTGATTGGGGGAGGGGGAGGCGACAGCATGGGAGGCGAAGCTCTTTCGCCCCCCCCCCCCCCGATCACTTCTTCCCCCTTTTCTTTTCTTCTTCCTCTTCTTTCTTTCCCTTTCTCTCCTCTTTCCCTTCTTTTCCTTCTCTCTCTCTCTTTTTTTCTTTCCCTTTCTCTCCTCTTTCCCTTTCCCTTCCCTTCCTTCTCTCTCTTTGAGGTTTGGTGGGGGGGGGGGAGGAAGGGAGGGGGAGGCAAGGTCATTTCGGCCCCTACCTTTCTCCAAACGTTGTTGGCGGGATTAACTGCAAATGATCTATTTCCCCCTACTTTTCACCTTTTTTTTCGGTCCCTTTTAGCTCCCCTTTTTTCCTTTTCCTTCTTTCTCTCTTTTTTTGGTGGGGCGGGGGGAGGCAAGGGCATTTTGCCCCACCCCCACCCCGGTCCACAACTTGTTGGTGGAAAAATTGCAACTGATACCCCCTTCTTTCTATTTCCTTCCTTCTCTCTTATTTTTTTTATTGGGGGAGGGGGAGGCGACAGCCTGGGAGGCGAGGCTCTTTCGCCCCCCCCCCCGATCACTTTTTCCCCCTTTTCTTTCTTTCTTCCTTTTCTTTCTTTCCCTTTCTCTCCTCTTTCCCTTCTTTTCCTTCTCTCTCTCTCTCTCTTTTTTCCCTCCTTTATTTTCCTTTTTTTTTCCTCCTTTTTTTCCCTTCCTTTTGTTTTCCTTCGTTTTTTCCCTTCTTTTTTTTCCCAGGGGGGGGGGGCGGGCCCCCGCCCCCCCCCCCCCCCTGAATCCGCCACTGCCAATCTCAGCCAGACTGAGAGACCGTCGCCTCCGTTTCAGTGGGCACTGCTGGAGGAGCAAGAGTGAAATCATTTCACAAATGCTCTTCTGGGAGCCCTCAAGGGGCAAACGCACCAGAGGGCGCCCAGCAATGACTTACATTGACCAGTTAGAAAAAGACACCTGTCTACCAAGACAGGAGCTCCCAAAGATCATGGAGAATAGAACTGAATGGAAAAAAGCTTGTCAAATCAGTGCGAGTACGCTCGACCTAGTAGTAGTAAAATCAATAAATGACACATATGTGGAAAGCTTAGATCCTCCTCTTTCATTTGATGCAACTCATATAATGCATATTTCACGCATGAGTGAGTAAAATGAATTTGAAGAGAGGGAACCCAAAAGTATTTTGGCGGACGGTATCTAAATTTCAAAGAGAAATTCACATTTCTAGAAAGCCGGGTTTCTGCCCTTTCATATGACACCTCAGTCAGGAAAAATGAGCTAGGAATAACAAAGTTCTGTTTGTTTAAAGTAGTGCTTGGATTTCCATAATTTTAGTAAACGAATTCGTTTTCACTGGCTACCTGCCGTAGCAACAAACGGAATTAACAAAAGACTTAACTCCGTTTCGTTGACAATTAACCGTAGACGAAAGACTTCATGCATGGCTGATTGTCGACGAAACGGAGTTAAGTCTTTTGTCGAAAACATGAAAAATGTGAATTTTGATAACCTATTTATGTTTTAAAAAATCAATGATTATGAACATACAATACTCAGAAAATAGTATAAATTCTTCAAAGTTCATTAAAAGATTTTGTGAAATGTCATGATATAAATCATATGACCTGGGCAAAGGCATGGGGAAATCAAGTTTTGGGGATGAAAAGGGAAATTAATGGGATAAAAGTACATAAAGCAATTGATAAATAGTGAGGCAGTGACGTCACAAACTGATAACCAAATAGGCAATTTGTGTAGTGATTTTCTAAATTACTTTAAAAAAAATCATAACTTCCTTATTAGTTATCCGATTTTACTCGATTTTTTTTGCTCTGTTCCTCCTGTTTTTCAGCATCTGTTAAAATCAAATTATTTTTGGAGTGGACTTAGCCTTTAACCACTTAACACTGATGAAAAACACAGCACAAATTTCACAAGAGCCTGCCTGTTCACTATCGCCCGAATTGCTACTGATGTCCGTCTGGCTCGAATTGTAATGTTCCTTATACGTTGTTTTTTCCCCACTCCGGGAATGGAGGGACAGCATTCATGTTCAATTTAAACTAATGATGTCCAATGACGAAACCGACATAAATGCAATAATAACATTTGGAATAACTACTGAAAAATAATAAATCAACATAAAAATACACATAACATCCCCCCTTCCTCTGCTTAATTTTTGTTTTTTAATGAAATAATTCATATAATATGTATTTGTATGTATGTATACATATATACAAAGTTCAAGTATTGTTTTTTTACCACGTATTTTCTTACCTCTGTTTTTGACATTGCTGTTTATCTTTATACATGCTCTATTAAGTAATATATTTTTATTGTCTATTATGTGATAGAAATACGACTACGAAATTAGTTGATCATTGTTTGTTTTTACCATTATCATTAATCGCGATGTAAATATGTATTGTGGAAGGCATTATTTATTCCCATGCTCACTGTGTCCCACGAGTTTGGAATAGGAACAGGGTCGAGCTGTCGGGATGATCTAAATTTGGTAATCATAAAAGATATGTATATTGTCTTACTATCATGTTATATATACATTTGTATTTTATTTTCTTCCTTTTATTTGAAAATAAAAAGGGGACAAAATTATATAAAGTATTACGAATAATATAATTTATTCTTAATTCTGTATTATATTTCAGGCGAGACATGCAGTAGTATGTTAATTTGTGTCACTCCTGGTTATTGCTATCTTTACTCTTACACTCAATTATCTATGTTACACAATAACTTGAAATTTGTTATCGAATGTACAAAAATTGAGAATGATCCTATCTGTTTGGATTGAAATCAATAAAGTTTGAATTTGAATTTGAAATTATTCCCAAAATCTCCGGTATTGGGGTACTTTTGACGCGACAAAGTCCGGCTCGTAATACACACACAAAATCGGCCCGTATTGACTTTACACACCGGACTTAGGAGGGGGGATGCTTTCAAAGGGAGGGAACATGCCTACGCGTACCCTAAATAACACTGAGTGTGGGGGTCTAATTTGAAAGCTCGTTATACACATTTAAATGAAATAAGTATGAAATAGCATGCTCCTAATATCAAATTGAAATGTAAAAATCTCTTTTGGAATAATCTTCTTACGCTCTCATTCAATTTTGCACAAAAACGGTAAATAAACTTAACGTGGATTCGAATGCTTATTTTTGTTTAAGTTGGGCGAGAGAAACTATATTATGATGAGCTCCTTCATCACGTTCCCTAACTCCTGAGAAAAGATTTGAGATGACGAAAATATAAAATTAGTCATCTAAAACAATTCAAACTACCTACATCCTTAGACCTTAACACCTAATCCTAAGAAAGAAACAGAAAACTCCAGGACAATCAAATTCGTAAAATCATTGAACTGTTAGTCCATACGAAAGCTTAATGATCCTTGTACTCATCTGCATACAACTATGTGACCGAGTATTCGTATATAATTATGTAACCATGTAAAACCATGAAACTCTCACTTCACCTGATGATAATAATTCGAAAGTGTATTCCATCCAGCGTTGTGAATTTATATATTTTCACTCTGCATCTCGTTGAGCATTGTTCCTCTTATAGCATTTTCAATATATATAATGGAAATTAGGTTAATCAAAACCTCTTGTTTTTCCACAGGACGACATGAAGAAGGAGACAAGGAGTCATAATTAAGTTACGCCCCCACTATATGCTCTCTAGCTCTCCAACTCTCGAAAAGAAAGAGAGAAGAAGGTTGAGGAAAGCCACAGTATATCGAGGTCCCGATCAGTGTGTGTGTGCGTGTGTGTGTGTGTGTATTCCTGCAGATGGTTATAATTATCTCTTTAAGTAATTTGATAGAAAGATAAGCCTAATTGTGACGGTAAACAGACGTTATCTTTAACCAATAAACGTATGATGTAAATTATATTACTATAAATTATATTTGACCAACTCAGTAATTATTAGTTCAACGATACAATATGGAATTTCCATGGGAATAGGCGCACGTGCTATACTCTTGAAGTCAGATAACGGTTTATACTAGGGCCAACCAAACTCATATAATTATATGAATTCACTTTGATATTGACAATCGGAAAGCGGTCAGTCTTTGCCTTACATTATACTTCCAAAGGAATCGGTAAGTTATCACGCATAATCTTACGCTTTATGTCCAGGTCCCGTGTCAACCAGTATATATACGGATTCTCGGCTTCACTAAAAGTAAGACACTGATTTTTTTTTCCCCTTATAAAAAGTTTAGTGATTCTGGCATCAAGTTGGCTTTCAACATCAGCTTTAAAGAAAGGGGAATAAACACACCAGGTTAAAGGGAGTACACGCCCAACGAGACGTGTCTTTCCCTTGGCCTGACTCGGAGCTAATCGGGTATAGATATACGGACGACGCGACCGCAGCAATCACATGCGTGTAACACTGACCATGTAGACTTTAAGTCGCTGACTACCGTTAATCAAGTCCATTCATTTACGTGCAGTTGTCCAAAAGAAGACGTAAATGACGTTAATCAGTATTTGCCAAGCTACTCTCCCATTAATTGAACGTTTGATGAAGGATGTAGAATAAGAAATTGATGAACTTATAAAAGTTTTAAACAATCGTGAACCCTGTGACGTACATTTTTTTAGCAACTCTCACATTTTGTAAATTATTCGACATATGTTTTACAAAAGTCGTGTATTATAGTTCGAATTAGGACACAACATAAAGTATAAATCTGTATTTGATCGATTACAACTTCAAAAATATTGCCTTTATATACTGGAGAGGAGGAAATCTAATTATGTCCAACCAATTCACAATCATAAAAATCAACTGATACCACCTCCCCCTCCTTTCCCTTACTTTGTAAAGGAGGTGGGTCAAAGATTTTTTACTTAATTCCTGAAATAATGATAATCATAAAACTAGTTTGTAAAGGGTTTTTGAATATGTTTGTGTTGCTGTTGATGTTTTAAACTGAACCTAATGGCTCGCCTTCGATGGGTCTTAGACTAAATTTATTCTTATTTTGTACCTACACCTAGTAAGTTTTGTGTTTGTGGTTATTGTAGTACATGTTCATTGTTGCTGTTAACTTTTTCTTATTGAAAAAGAAAATAACTTGAACTTTAAAAATGGCACCCAACAAGGAGATGAAGATTCTCAGCAATAAAGGCAATACGAAAGTCACTTTGTGTGTAGGAGCAAATCCGAGAGTCGTCCAACATTACATCACAATGATTTTACAAATACACCATTTTTAAATTCCAAGTGATCTCATTTGTTGGTTACTATTATTGTGTTTTAGAATCGTTTATCCTATTTCGTCTTGATTTTCATCACTGTGTTTGTCTAATGTTTGCTTTCCTTCACATGAACTTAAATCATTGTCAGAGTAAAATGGGAAATTTGTTCTATTTTATTTGTTTTCCTATTTTCAAGGTCATCTAGACATTAGAGGGCGTTGGTGATAGAAAATATTTCGCTTGTCTGAATATATGCAAATTAGGGTGTGGTGCCGAGAATGCTTAAAGGTGTGTACGTGTGGATTTAAATCAGGGCAGTTGACTAGAAGACGGAGGTTGTAGCTGGATGTGTGAGAGATCTTGAACATGTACCCTAGTGTGTTGTGGAAGTTGCTACCAGAGCCTTGATTTTGTATTCGGCGCAAGCAGTCTTTTTCCTCAGGCGACACCGGTACGAGAGGTATCCTCCATGTAGCCCAGAACCTCGATTTTCCTGCCATTGGCAAAACCATGTCAACATAACTGTAAGTAGCTTTCTATACATAACCTACGTGTGATAATGAGATTCAGATAATTTACATATTTACAGTGTGCAAGAAGCACCACGTTAGAGCAAATTAGCTCGTATGTGTAATCAAAAGTAATTATTCACGAACACGTGACGAAAGAGCCGTTCATTAACTATCGTTCTCCTGAGCGTCGTTCGATAGGGAGAATAATACGTTTATTAATATAAATGCTTTAACGCTTCATGCATAAATTTTGAAATTGTGGCGTGCGCCTGTAATCCAGCTAACAGTGGAAGTTACAAACTGATTCAGCCGAGGACGCAGGTTCGAAACTGAGTCACGTCTTTCGGATGGTGACGTTTAAAGGTTGGCATGGTCCCCAGACGTAAATAATCATACCTGATTGACACACGTCTGTAAAAATAAAACACACACACACACACTTGAAATTATATGTAAAAGAACATTTTATTTTGTGTTAATGAATTAACGCAGTACAACCTAGTAGTAATGATGAGAAACAATTTATTATCGAAATTGTTGTTCTAGAAATGACTTAATTTCTCTAACGAATTTTTATTGACATAATTCTTATAATGATTGATTAAGTTTGTGGGTCATCCTCCTTCCGACACGAGTCTCCAGGGATCTATTCCTCGTAGAAACCATGTCGGTTTTGGATCTTCTGATATAGCAATTAAATCTTACTTTTTGCCCGGGTCAGTTAGATTGGTGACCATAGTTATTAATGGAAAGAAAGTGTAGTGGAAGGAAATCATGTTGGTTTTGTTATAACCGGATAAAGAAAGTCTGGTGAAGTAACCTTTATTATTTCATCGTTTGCTTTATTCGAAAATGACTATTAGAAATAAGTGTTGAAACCGTAGAAATTAAATATCATGTATTTGGAAGGATATATTGATAATTTCATTTAAAGCCGTGTAACGAGGGACAAAAACGTTCTTCACTACAAAACTAGTAGCACGCTGAGCGTCGTCGAATTAGCATCTAAGAATCGCCGAGTCATTATATCCGGGATCTTGAAGCACATGACCGATTGCCGTAAATAGCGATTACGGGACAAGTCTCCAAGCATCGAATCGTCGTAGGAACCACACATAGGAGCATCACTATCCTGGCTGTGTAGTAAAAGCTGTGCTTTTGATTCTCAACATTTCAAACACCACTGTACAAAACTCAACTGATTTCACTAAAAATGGGTACTTTAGTGACAATTGATGACACCTAAATAGCAGTAAAATACATTTTTTTTTAACTTACTGATGTTAAAAAGAATAATTTAAAAATTCAAATTGTAAGTCTAGTGTCAAACTTTGCTTACAGCTGCATCGACATGATTGTGTACAGTCTATGCAATATTGTGTGGTGTGTGTATTTGTGTATGGGTCTAAAAATACCCGCCTCACAGCAAGCATGCAGTGCTAGAGGTCAATACGCACTAGCATTAACTCTCTATGCTTTGCTGGAGTGATAGGAACCATGTCGGTATTTGATCTTCTGATATAGCAACAACTATTAGCAAGTACCAAGCAAAAGGCTTTCGCCTTATTCGGACAATCGTCTTAATTTCGGACACTTAAAAAACCGGGAAGTTAAAGCTTATCTGCCATAGTTTACAGGAGGGATTAGACCGCCCTACAAGGTCACTGGACAGGTGGTTATCTCATCAACTCAGCTCTCAGTTCACATAAGAAAAAGAGGATCATGGGGGACCAATGGTCACCGATTAGGCATTGTTTGTTATATAGAGGGCGCAAGTAGCTACAAGTAGTGCAGTGGGCCTTTAACTGTAGACGGGACTACACTCGTGGGTATTGGAGTAATTAATTGACCGTACGTATATGTACATATTTGTGTAACAGCAGATTTCTATGAATTTAGTTGTTGATGTAGTTGTCAATAAACAGTCTGTAAAACTCATTTATGAGAGTCTGTGTGGCTATTTTGTTATATCCGGGGAAAATCTTGACAATCATTGACGTGGAATTATTAAGCATACTGCGTGACTCCATATTCGATTACATAGTCACTTTCTGATTTCGAAGTACTGATTGTTTTTCGAATATAAAGGGTGGCTTTTGCACTGGACCATCCCCTCGCCTCATTCAACGAGGCATAACAATTATCATACTGACAATTGAAACAAGTGCTGCACTCACCAACACTACAGTTATAATGTAGAGTGAATATAAGTCAAAATCTCTGCTGTTTAAAACGAAAGGAGCCCCCCCCCCCCCCCCCGATACCCTGGATATCAACCTCCTGTGTTTTTTTTTAATTGCTTTATGTCTATTTTTTGCAGACATGAAATTACTTATTGTGCTACTCGTGGCTTCTCTTGCGTCTGCCGCACTGCGCAAGGCTAAAGAACCCATCCCAGGTCGATACATCGTTAAGATGAAGGTAAAGATAGATATATCAAGAATAACTACATTCTAGTCCATTTTAACACTTTTGTTTAATTCAAAGCTGTCTTTGTACAATCAATTTCTATACAGAGAGTCCAGTTCAAATCGTGGAATAGACAGAGATATTAAACTAATACAGACACTAATTCTTCCACAATTTATGTAACTAAGCCTCCTTAATATTCTAATAAGAAAGGTAATAACAACCTTTACTTTGCAGGTGTATACGTACATTTTTCTTTCTCGATTTTTTTTCTTCTTCGAATTTCAAGACTAGAAATGTAATGAAACTTTCCAAAAAACAAGAACGGTAATATGTCATTTGCGGTTGGTCACTAAGTGCCCACACCATATACGCGCCGAACTTAAGTGGGGCGGGGAGCAGAGGGGCCAGATGCCCCCAATAATTCCAGTATATGGGGCAAATTTGACTTAAAATCTGTAATTTTTCCCAGCATAAATTCACGATAAGCCTTGGATTTCTAGGAGGTTCTCCTGGGGAAAAACACATGAAGCGGGGTTGTGTGTAGTCCGCATGGATATACAGTGCGACCCAGAAAAAACGAAACCGAGAATTATCGATGTTTTATCATAACTTAATCACAATTATAAATTAATGAATGACACATATTTGTAAAGCTTAGATCCTCCTCTTTCATTTGATACAACTCATATTTCACGCATGCGTGATTAAAAGCAATTTGAAGGAAGGAAACTTAAAAGTCATTTGGCGGGCGGTATCTGAATTTCGAAGGAAAATTCCCATTTCTAGAAAGTTCATTTTCTGCTCTTTCATAATTTATGACAACTCAATCAGGAAAAATGAGCCAGGAATAACAAAGTTCTATTTGTTTAAAGTGATGCTTGCATTTCCATAATTTGATTAAACGAATTCGTTTTCACTGACATAGACGAAGAATTCATGCATGGCTGATTGTCAATGAAACGGAGTTTTTAAATCAAATTATGGAAATGCAAGCATCACTTTAAACAAACAGAACTTTGTTATTATTCCTTGCTCATTTTTCCGGATTGAGGTGTCATAATTATGAAAGGGCAGAAACGAAATTCAGATACCGCCCGCCAAATGACTTTTTGGTTTCCTTCCTTCGAATTGCTTTTAATCACTCATGCGTGAAATATGAATCATATGAGTTGCATCAAATGAAAGAGTAGGATCTAAGCTTTACAAATATGTGTCATTTATTAATTAAAATTGCGATTAAGTTATGGTAAAACATCGATAATTCTCGGTTTCGTTTTTTCTGGGTCGAACTGTAGTACGCTGGTGTAACAAAAAGTCTTTAGGACACTGGTATTCATGAAATCGGCTGTCTTGCAAAAATAGTAGCGCGCCCATTCTCAGTCTGATATAGGTTGCTAACAAAACCGCCATAATTATGACCTATGATGTGCGCCCTTTACAATTAATGGAGATGGTGATTAAATATTAAAGAGCGTTGTAAAGAACATCGTGCGCTACTATAGTGTATTATGTTGTATCAATTCTAGTTCTGTATGAAAGCAAATGAAATGCCCCCTATAGCTGTAACAATAAACCAATAAACCAAGTTGTCTAACATATGCATTACAAACCGGACTGTGAACATAATGATATATATAATATATATATTGTTAATCGCGCGACTTTCAATACAATAATTTTCATTTACAGACCGGACAAGATGTAGAGTCCATGCTGGCAGCCTTAGGGCACACCCAAATCTACCACAAATACAAAACCGTCTTCCCTGGTTTTGCCGCCGCCCTGACAGACCGCATGCTTCAGTTTGTGAGTACATTGATTCGATTTGTGTCTAACGATTTGAAATCATTTCATGTTTACTGTCATCTGGTCAACGCAACAGATGAAGAGTGATTAAACAAAATAAAATGTATTTCCAGGGCATGTCCAAGATATTCTGCCCCATGCGTAAGATTTCAGTCTATCTATCTGATGACGGTAGGCCTATGAAACTGATAGCCCCACGAGAGTTTTTATAAAAAATGATATTAATAAAGGCTTTATGTGTTATTCACATTCCTCAATACAATTAATTAATATTAGGTAACATGCACATTGGACTTGTCCTACTGTTACTTAAGCGTAAGCATCTGACAAGCGAATACAAGACTATTGATGTACACTGTTGGTCATAATGGTGGAATAGTTATTTTTAATTACAAATTAATGGCATTTTGCCCCGACCCCAAACATAAAAAAATCCTCTATGTGGGCATGCCTTGAACCACAATGCATGACCCTACAAAGGAATTTTTCCTGTTGGGGACAGGGGCAAAATGCAATGAATTTTTGATAATTTATTGCATTTTCTTTGTTTTTTGTATTTGTGGGGGCGGCGACGTACCCTAGCCCCCGCTGTGTACAGTCATGATTCAGTGGCTAAGCAATGGTCGCGTTACTGTGAGCCACAGGATCAAAACTGTGTCAATGTGCTATATTAGTGCCCTTTTATGTGGCATTAGTCCTCATTACTGTTAGTTGTGACTTAAGGACGTAGGTCCCCTAGTTGATTAGCATCAGGCGCGTACGCAGGGGGGGGGGGGGTTGGGGGGTTAAACCCCCCCCTTTGGAAATTTTTTGTGTGTAAACCCCCTAAAAAAAACCTAAAACCCCCCCTTTTGGATTTTTTTTTTTTTTTTTTTTTTTTTTTTTTAATTATTAAAAAAAAAAAAAAAAAAAAAAAAATTATTCCCATGGCCGACCTAAAAAAGGTGACCTTACCCCCCCCCCCAACGGAGCAAAATGTCAAATTTCCAAATTTCGAGACCAAAAAAAAAGTGTCCTCTTACCCCCCCCCCCCCCCCCCCCCGCTTATTCAACGGTCGGCTGAGTCGTTGCGATTTTTTGGGACCAAAAAAAAAAAAAAATGTGTCCTCTTACCCCCCCCCCCCCCCCCCCCCCGCTTATTCAGCGGCTGGCTGAGTCGTTGCGAAATTTCGGACCGATTTATAAATGTTAAAACCCCCCCTTGAAAAAATCCTGCGTACGCGCCTGATTAGCATAGTAGCACACATGCTTTATCAGTCACGCAAAACAAACACTCGCAAATTATTATTCAATGAAATGTGAGAATGTATACTATAAGGAATAAATCATTGTCAAAATCATTCCATAAATTGGGGTAAAAATAATTATTCCACCATTAAAATACTTTGTCACAACACTATTTTTTTAAATAATATAAGACAAATCGTCGCATGGCAGGCAATTAATACTTAGCAAATTTTAACAAAAAACGAAAAAAAAACTACTAATTTTGATGATGCAGGCTCTATCTTCAGATGCGGTAGAATATGTAGAAGAAGATGGTGTTGTCCGGGCTGACGACGTGGCGTCATGGGGTCTTGATCGAATCGATCAGCTAAGTCTTCCTCTTGATGGTGTCTTTCAACCCATTGGTAACCAAGGACAAGGGGTCAACATCTACGTCATCGATACCGGTATCCTCATTGATCATCAAGATTTCAATGGCAGGGCCTCTGTGGGCTTTGACTACGACAATGGAACGGTAATCTCACTTAATTTTTGGTTGAATCCTGGATAATCGAGTAATTGTAAATGTGAATCCCCAGGAGGCTGTGTGTACCTTCATTTGCCAAGTCTCATGCACACCATCGGCGGCGGTCTCGGGAATGGGGACACGTATGGTGGAAGGGGGTGGGACTTGCTCGAGTCTCTCTTTGCTTTAAGTACGGCGGCATATAGCTCCGGATTTTGACAGAATTGTGCACTTTTGTCTAAAAAACACATTTTTGGTACAGTTGTTAAATGGTATGTACTGAAAAATATAAACATGGAAGCACTTTTAATAAAGACATTATGAGAGTGATTTTAAGTAAAATGCAAAGGTAAAACTATTACAATTACGTTCCGAATCACTCATCGTTAGCCAAGGTGTGGTGACCGTTCATCACACTGTGAATGCGTCTCATTCCTGATTGATATCTGAGGATCCATATCCGTAGGCCCTAGGCGGAGCGTCTTACAAGAGGGGGGGCGGCAACAACAAAAAGGGGCACTTTCTGGGAAAAGGGGCACGTTTAAAGGGAAACTTCAACGCGAACATTTATGTATACATTTATTGTAGTTGATTGTAATTACATTATCAGGGATGATATCTATATTTGTTTTTCTCTTTACATGGTTCACGATACTTTGTAGTTGGGTGTGATATGGTCCGAATATGAACTTGCGTGATCTTGCGTACTTGGTGATCTTATAAAGAGATATAAACACAAATCCTCGGTGATGACTTTTGAACACAATCTAATCATAACACTAAAAGGACCTTTTATAATTAAGTAACATCGATATATCGACTATAAATGCGAGCGACCGAGCTTTGGGGAAATTAAAGAATAAGAGATTCTAAGTCGCTTTGAATTAGGGGCACATGTTAAGGAGAAAGGAAAAGGAGACACTTCTCAAAAGGGAAAAGGACACTTGTTAGAAAAGAAAAGGAGCACGTGTCAGATTTTAAAAAAAGGCAATCGCCAGAGGTGGGTGAAAAGTGCACTAATGAGAATGGAAAAATGGGCATCTGTCGAAGGAAAAAGGAGCACCATTTTAATAGGGGCGTTTATCAGAGGTGAAAAGGTGCATTTATGAAAAATGGAAAGGAGCACTTATTATTCAATTCAATTTAATTCAAATCAATAATGGTTTATTCATATGACGTTCTGGCAGCCGAAGCTAAATTGCAGGTCATTTATACAAGGTAAAAACATAATGATATTTAAAATACACTGAGCATTATACATGTTGACATAAAATAAAATTAATGACATAAAAAGGATAAAAATACTAGACACATTTAAACACATAATAGGCAACATCATTAAACATAAACATATACAAAAATACATGAAGCTTACTTTTTTTGAATAATAATCGTTTAAGATACGAACAAAATAGGGAATATAGCTATTATTAAAGCGACTGGTTTTACAAATTAATTGAGAATATTTCTGTACATTTCGTAAATTAAATTTAACAATTCTTTGACTTGGTAGCCATAACGAGCCCAAATCATGCTTTTCTAATTTAATGGCGAAATCAAAACAAAGTTTATTCCTACGTTCTTCCAACGTTAACAAATTGCACAATTATTCTGTAGAGCATGATTATATGTTTCATAATTAAGTCCCAAAATAATTCTACATGCCCGTTTTTGTATTCGTTCAATATTATCTGTTTGTTTACGCGTTAGGTTGAAATGAAAAAGTGGTGCACAATACTCTAAAATTGGTCTTATGTATCCAGTATAAACAATAACGAGATCACGAGATTATTAAAGGGAAAGGAAAAATCATTATGAAGGAAAAAAAGGGCAGTTGTTTAAACATGTCCTTTTCAGATTTGTACAGGGGCAATTATCAGAGGTAAAGGGGGCACTTCTCAGAGGTGGTATATTTCGATTAATACATGTGCATGTTTATTTCATGTAATAACGGACCAGAATGACCATGTCCGAGTGTGCAGCCAAATTAGGCCGTTTGACCAGTTAAAAAATTGAATGCTATTTATCGTGCTTTCATTCAACAAATTCATAGAAATAGTATGACAAATATATTATTACTGGAATCTCTTTTTTATGTCAGTCGGAATTAGTTTACATGACTGGCCAAGAACTTTTATCATGAGTTATGTCATAAATTTGGTGAAGCGCAAATTTTTTAGTGTGTTACTCTTTTCTTTTTCTTTTTCTTTTTTCTGGCTCGTCATATTTTCTTTCAAAATCAAAGACTTGAATGTCTTCTTCATTCCCTTCTACTACAGGGAATCGACTGCAATGGCCATGGTACGCACTGCGCAGGCACTGTTGCAGGCACTGCTTTCGGCGTCGCCAAGTTGGGTCACGTGATAGCAGTACGCGTTCTAAACTGTTTCGGAAGAGGCAGCTGGGCTGACATTATCTCAGGTATACCAAGGTTATAACATTTCCAAAATTACAAAATGTATTAATCCATTTAGCACATCAGATATCAGAAAAGTCTTTGTACATAGGAGGTGGCCTTTACGATAACCTTGATAAACTTAACAATGAGTGGCATCAAAAGAAAAGTGAGAAAGACAACATTTTGTTTTGATATACAGTTTCTCACAATGTGCTAAATGTCAAATTCCTCTTTGTTTGGAAATAGCATTTCCTTCCCGACTGCAAATTCTTATAAGTCCGCCATTTCATTTGCTGTGATAGCGTTCCCTTTTTCATGATTTTACGTGTGCCCAATATTACGCACTTTCTCCTTATTCGTATAGAGTGGCGCGGATCCAGGATTTCTTGGGGGGGGGGGGGCCAAATTTGAAATCAATTTGAAATTTAGTGTGCCGAAATTTAAAAATCAGTGGGGGGGGGGGGGGGTAAGCATTTTTTTTTTGCCCTCGAAAATTTGAAAAATCGCACCCCCCCCCCCCCCCCTTGAGCGTAAGGGGGGGTTGGGCATCTCCAAAAAAAGGTTTTTACGAGTTTTTTTTTTCTCTCAGGGGGGGGGGGCGGGGGGGGGGGGGGCTCGCCTGGATCCGCCACTGGTTTACATATAGTATGGGCAAACCCATGGGTGTACGGGGCCAAATTTGAGAGCTAGGGTGCTGACGACTTTTTCCCGAATAAGGAACCTTCTGGTCTGTGAATTTTGTCTAAAGAAAATGTTACTGTTTCTATATAAATCTTCGAGACTTTCGAGATAGGATGTAAAGATTACAGGTTCGAGCTAGCACTTCGTTGCCCAAATAATGAGATGACATATGCCCAAATATTGGTCATTTCAAAATTTCTGGAGGGGTGGTAAACTAGCCGGTTAACCCCCTCCTCCCCCCCCCCCCCCTCCCCCCTGCCCCCTCTCCCCTCCCCTCCCCCTCCACCTCATGCTGCACATCTACCTTACTCTCGTACAAGGTCGTGCTTTAAATGATCTGAACATTATTTTCTTTATTATGTAGTTTTTTAGGGCACTCGCATGACAATTGGCTTTCGGGTAATTTCTGATCTTACTGAAAAAGTTGGTTATAATAATAATAATAATTACATTTATAGGGTGCTTTATACAAGCGCATGGGTGGTACTGTCTAACTCAGTATAATTATTCAACACGTTCAATAGCTTAAAAGCAACAAAATAACATAAAATATTACTAATACAATACAATCCAGTTGAATGGAATCTACTACTTGTGTGCGCCTCCAGTATACTCTAACTGATTAAAAATGTAGGTTTTGAGAAGGGTTTTTAATGATTCAATGGATGGGGCATTTTGAATATGGGATGGGAGTTTGTTCCAGGGGGCGGGGGCGATCGATGAAAAGGCACGGTCATCAAACGGGTTTTTGTTCGTGGGCCGTGAATGGTGGAAGATGAACGGAGGGATCTGGCAGAAGAGATGGATCGAAGGGTGACTAGGTCAAGAAGATATTTAGGGGCAAGGTTATGTCTTATTTTGTATGAAAGAAGTAGAGTAATCTTTTAATTATGGATGTCTTGAACATTACTAATTTTGAAAGGTTGCGAGTGGGTAGCAGGCAACGCAGTGTTTCCTGCTGTTGTATCTATGTCTCTTGGTGGAGCCGAGAGTGAAAGTGTAGATGATGCTATCCGTGCCATGATTAATGCTGGAATCAGTGTATCAGTGTCGGGTGGTAACGATGACTTCTCATCATGCCGCAAGTCTCCTGCAAGAACACAGGAGGTAAACACCAGACCTTATAATGCATTTTATTTAAAGAGATTCCTTACAAAATCCATTTTCAAATTAACGACTCAAGTACACTGTATTCCTAATCAAATTCATTTTCTTTTTGATAGTGAAGCGCGAATATCCGGTAACAAATCTAAGGCAAGTTGATGTATACATTGTAATCATTTGACACACTGGCAGACGAATACGTTATAAGCTTTACTTTGGATATTAATTGGACCATCTCAAACTCGGTTCATGATGCCTGTTTGTCGAATCCTTAAACAGGGTGCTTTCTCCTAAAATAGTTAGGCCTAGTCTAAATTAAACAGATTAATCAAATTTGTATTTGGACCATCTTTAAAAAGATGGTTTAAGTACTTGAAATAATATAGGTGTATGTTAAACATAGACAAAATCAGTTTAAAAATATCAAATCATATTTACGTATTTACGTGCTATCCAATAGACAGATGACTGTTTTAAACTTTGAGGGCCTTGTAATATCGGGCAAACAAGAGTTAAGCATGCATGGAGCTCCATCACCTTTAGAGTAATTATTTCAAAACGTAGAGAGCAGGACCCTTTCATTTAAAGGTACTATGTCCCTTTTGCAGGCCAAAAAATGAAAAGGTTAATGGCATTCGAAAGATAATACTAATTTAGAACTCCCCTTAAAAAATGGGGCTTGAAAATGTCTTTAAGTGTGAAAATAACGACTATTAGTTATCAAATCGACTAAGGAGCTAAAGAGCCAATAAGTAATAGTCTTGATTTCCAGACCATTGTACCGCTTGGTCGTACATTTTATGCTGCGCAAAGATTCAATCAGTTTAATTTTGGCCATTACAAGAAGTGGGTTATTGATGTAGACAAATCCGTTACAGCTCATGTTATGTATTTTATTACCAAAGAAGAAGAAAAAGCCTGTCAGTCACTCAATACTGACAATAGTGTCTGACAGTGAAGTCTAGCAAGTAAACGGGTTTCCTTGCATAATTTGAATGTAGGACACTGCCATCGTTTACATTTCACAGATAAGACATACATGACATATTCAAAATTCCTGCATGCAAAGTTCTACAGAATTAGAGGTTGGCTGCAAAAGGAACATAGTATCTTTAAAGGGGTATAGGTGAAAAAGTAGTGAACCAATAATATATTTTCCCTACATATCAGGCTATCACTGTGGGCGCCACCGACTCTGCTGATGTCCGAGCTAGCTTCTCCAACTATGGCACCTGTCTCGATATCTTTGCTCCTGGTGTCGCTATCACATCAGCGTGGTACACCTCCGTCGATTCAACTAATACCATCAGTGGTACATCCATGGCAACACCCCACGTAGCTGGTCAGTTTTCTATCGTTTTCCCCTTTGTAGAGATGAAGTTATACAGTACATTGGGTATGTTTACCACTGTGACCATTAAACCCTTTGAGGCATCAATCTATTTCAAAGAAATCCGAATGGTCGAAAGCATTGAAAATAACGGAATAGATTTATAACACTTATTTTCCATTTTTCATCTACAATGCGTCGGACGGAGCAGAGCCAAATATGCACATAGATTCACTAACTCAGTTTCAGTTAGACACGCCCTGCCGAACATTTATGTTGTTGATGAACACAACAGTGCGTACGTATGCTCAACAAACACATGTGCCAAATTGTATCCAACTTGAACCGAGTTGGCCTTCTATATCGATTGCTCCGAGCCTGCCTTTTTTGAAGTCATGGCACCCTTTGAAGAATAATATTAAAAAGATTCGCGTCACCCCAATCCCAAATTCACCACAGAAGATTAATTTTGCATCACTCTGGCACTCATCAAGTGCCATGTAAGCATGTACGGGCACAATAAATTTTGATTCAAAATTTCACTTTCTTTTTTTCTTCTTATAAATAATATGGAGAAAAAGGTAGGTCTATGCAGGAGCAATTCATATTTTAGTTAATTTTTTTTAATTTTTAATCACATTATTTGCTCAAAATTGTTATGCTAACCATCCCACAACCTATTAAATGTGGGAACATTAGGTTCTGTTTGAAAGAAATCTCCAACATAGTTCAGCAGTCGTTTTACATGGCGATCATTTTGAAAAATGGCAGCCATGTTTTTATCAGCAGATTATTTTCCAGGTAGTCCACCCAGAAATTGTGCAGGTAATTGATGCCATTATCGCGATTACTCGAGAACCAATGAGCGGATTTTGGCCAAGTATGTATGCGCTTTTATGAAGTGATTATGTTTTGGGTGAAAGAGGTGAAAGTTCAGAGGTCTTAGTATAGGGCTATGAATGTGTTGGAAATGCCTAAAAATATATCGTTACCGCGATAACTTGAAAGCATCTCAAATCAGACTTGGAAGAAATATATGAATGAGCGTGCAAAGTTGAACTGATTGGATTTTAGGCGTAAGAGATTGAAGGTTAAAGGTCACATGGTCATATCATTTATATAATGAATACCTGAAAATATCTTACCATGATATTTAACTTGAAAAAGTATCAAAGCATTTAAACCAATCGTTGATGAGTTTGTATGTCACATGATTATCCTTCAACTACACACAGGAGACGGAGGCATCTAAGAAGCGCAGTCTCGTTCATTTTGTTGTTTTCTCGTTCTCATAATTTTTTATAGAGGTTTTGGAATTAGAACATTCGGTCTCGTAGGTCATCGGTCTCATGGGTTGTCGGTTTAGGATGTTCCTCGAAGCTGAGATTATTATATGTAATTTCGGTCAGTCGTACTGTATGGTGTCTTTCATTAATAATACATTTGTTTTGTTCATGGAGAATATCTGTTTTTGTCCATGTTACTGATCCATCCGAACCTATCAACTTAACTAACAGGTGCTGCAGCTATTTTCCTTGGAGATGATCCTACTATGACTCCAGCCGATGTCAAAGCATCTATTCAGATCAAGTCCATAGCTGGTGTTGTTGGTGATCCTCAAGGAGGCTCGCCAAATCTCCTTCTCTACATGGGTCAGGGTTCTGGTGGACATCCCTGGACCCTACGATGACGGTAGGATTGGATATTAGCGGTGATGCACCTGATTCACATATCCTCAAAAAAAAACAATGATCACATGTTTTTGTATACACATCACATTTTCACTTGGAAGCCCAAGGGGGGGGGGGGGGATGGGGGTAGGAAGTTTAACCCCCCCCCCCCCCCCTTGGGCTGCCAAGTGAAAAATGATATGTGTCCAGACCCGCACAGTATTAGTAGATGTTAGTAGATGGCAGGAAAACATTACTTATGGGGGTTCAAAATAGCAACAACAAAAATCGTGGACGATGCTCCGCATGTTAGTAGATACCAGGAAAACATCGATACGGGAGTTAAAAATAGCGCCAAAAAAAAAAAATCGCTTCGCGGCTCGTGGACGATGCTCTGCATTGCGTCAACCCCCCCCCCCCCCCCCCCCCCCCCCTGGGCAAAAAGCTAGGTCCGCCGCTGCTAGGTCAACTTAAGAGTGAAAGGAGCTGGTGGTTATATTTTGTATGTCTCCTCCCCACCAGTTCCAAGTACAATTACAGACGAAACACATGACATCGCATGACATGTCGGAGCCATGTTCTTGATAATGTGACGTATCATGTGACGATTTACAGTATGATTGATAAATCTGCAGACTTATAGAGAGAAACAGTTTTTCCCCACCCTCTTGTCTAATAGTTTGTCAATTTCAAAATGATTACAATAACAAAAATAAGAGTTTGGGAAACATCAACAATTTAATTTCTTCCTGCATGACTTGGTACATAAAAACCTCATTGCCAAAGGAAGGGTCATTAGCAATTTTTACTTTTAAAAAGTTCATCAATATCGTATCATTTGCATTTTGCTTAATTTTGCACCAATTTTTGATTTTCTGCTTCCACTTAGATCCCTTTCTATGAATCATGGCGATTCTCATCGATCTCGCGTCGTTTAAACAAATATCAGTTCATATCCATATTCATATTCCGCCTAAAGAATAGTATCTTTTGGTTAAAATTGGACTTCTTTGACGTAATAATTGATATCATTACGATGCAGGATGCGGTGGAAATTTCAGCGATCCTTCAGGCTCGTTTGCCAGTCAGCATTACCCGTATAACTATGAGGAAAGCGTAACATGTGACTATCTTGTTTGGAATCCTCTTATGTTTCCTGTCATGGTCGATGTGGATGACTTCAATCTCGAGGCCTCAACCGCATGCCGTTTTGATTCGCTCTCGGTGAGTGATGGCAATTGTTAGTGGTATCATACGACCTTGTGATATAACAAGTCTCATGTATTACGTCATTATTTTTATGTCCAGTATGTTTCCATAAATTTGGTAGCGGTTGTGGCAATTTCAGGCCGATACCATCAAGATCTAATTGGATTTTAGTAAAAATGCAATATATATTTGTAAATCAACATGGAAACAAATAGTAAACAATGTTATGTATATGTATATATTTCAAGCTTCCACCTATATATGGTGAAAAGCCATAAACGACAAAGGAGAAACAAAACCCTCTTTGCTCTCCATCCTTCTCACCTACAGATCTATGATGGGTCAGACACATCAGCTGACCTGATCGGGGTATACTGCGGTACAGAAGGCCCTGGTATTGTTACAAGCACTGGAAGCAGCTTGTTCTTGAGAATGGAATCTGACATCACAGGAACACGAAGCGGCTTCCACGCTAAATATATCTCACAAGGGGAAACAGGTGGTCAGTATCGTCTTGAATGGATAAAATTCGGTCGAAGTCCGGTTAAAGTGATTTCGGGGGGATATCTCCAAATACAAATAACAATGTTAATATGCAGATCCTCCCCGATAGCGAAATCATCACCCTGCTCGGTTTTCGTTTTTTGGTTGTACGGCTGAAAGATCTTCCCTATATCAAGTGCCCAGTGGTATCATCCAAACCAGACGCTAACTTTAATTTCATTTCGGACTCACTTTGGGTATAATATAAAGTTACTGGGCGAGTTCTCAGTTTTCGCTTGTTTCACATGTCTGTAGTCTTCGTGTCGGAATTATCATATATCATATTCACATGTCCGCCGGGTACTTTTTCATACTTGTTTAGGGTGAGTTTTGTTAGAATCCTCTCGACGTCTGGAGAATCTGCATTCATGATCCATTCAAAGCACCATTTCCACTTCAGTAATACATAGACGTCTATACATTCGAACAATTGCTTTCTTATGGTATTCCATTCAGGTTATTTTACCAGTGGCTAGTGGCGGATCCAAGAATTTCTTACCGGGGGGGGGGGGCGGGGGGCACAAAATCGCATGAGGTGAAATATATGAAAAACGATGGAGCAAAGCGACAGAACGAGGCGTCAGCGACGAGGGAGCGGAGCGACCAAACGGGACGGGTCTGGGAGGGGGTCAGAATTACCGCATTAAGCGCATTTTCAGGCACTCCCTGGAGTAATATGACGTAAAATTGCTTGCTTCTACCCTCTCCAAGAGTAGTGATCTTTTTAAATTTAAGACCCACATTTGGCGCATTAATGTCCACCGGCACTTTCTGGAGAAAAAAACGAGGCCTTCTGATTGGTTAGAAGTTAGAAAAAATGATCTGTCACGTCGCGAGACGTTGTATATGCTTCTTTGCTGCACAATGCACAAAGACGGTGGTCTGGTACCTCACAGTAGTACTTGAAAAAATTATCTCGAGTGTATGAACTGTGTTTTTATCAGGGGCGTCGCTAAACCTTTTTCGGGGGGGGGGGCGTGTAGAGGCCACCGATTACCGACAAAACTAGCCACCAATTACCGACAAATATATAAATGCCAATGTCCCAATGTCTACAAATTTAACCCTATAAACCAGGGGCCGCGAAACGCAGAAGCTTTGACACTTAATTAAATTATTAGAGAAAGAAGACGATTCGTTGAACCGTTCTCGACTCTTAATCATAGTCTGAATTTAGTTGCCCCCCTCAAGCGCGAAGCGCGGAAACTTTGACGTTTCATTAAATTATTACTCTTAATCGTTGTCTGAAGCGAAGCGCGGAAGCTTTCACGTTTCATTAGATTATTAGAGAAGGAAGACGATTTGTTGTACTGTTCTCGACTCTTAATCCTTGTCTGAATTCAGTTGCCCCCCTCTCGCGCGTATCGTGGAAACCTCGACGTTTCAATTAATTATTAGAGAAAGAAAACGATTCGTTGTACTGTTCTCGACTCTTCATCCTTGTCTGAATTCAGTCCTCCCCCCTCCCGAGCGAAGCACGGAAGCTTTGACGTTTAATTAAATTATTAGAGAAAGAAGACGATTCGTTGTACCGACTATTAAACATTTTATGAATTTTCAACAAAAAAATCTTCGTCCGATAAAAAGTCACATTGGGAGGGAAAACAATTGCCGGCCGACCGACATAATACATCTCACCGACTTCAAACTTCTGCATTGATATAGTATACACGAGGATTGAGCAAGAATACCGACACAGGGGACCCGACACAGCAACATAATTATCTATGCGTATCTTTCTTGCCCCCTCGACGTGATGACTCCACCCGAAATCCCCCTCTCTCTCTCTTACTCCTACCCCTCTTCTCTCAGGCTCTTACCCCCTCTCTCTCCTCTGTTTCATCCCCCTTCTTTTCCTTTTCTTTCTTTTCCTTTCTTTCCTCTCCTTCCTCTTTTTTCTCTTTCCTTCCTTTCCTTTCTTGTCTTTTTCTTTTTTCCTTTCTTTCCCTTTCCCTATCATTCTCCCCTTCCCTTTTCTCATTTTTCCCGACAATATCCTGACAGGTGGGGGGGGTGTCGCACCCCCACACACCTCTTTAGCGACGGCCCTGGTTGTTATCCCATTATTTTTCTTTTTTTTTAAGGCAATTCCTCATGCTCTCGACCCTCTCTTCTATCGTTGTTTAATTCTCTTTCATTTGTTTTCCTTTCTCGCCAAAATTCTCTCTCCCCCCCCCCCTCTTTTTTTTTGGGGGGGGGGGGAGGGGGGCCACACGCCTGACAAGAGGGACCCCATATTATGCACAATGAAAAATTGTGTGCCCCCCCCCCCGCCCCGTTCTTGAGAACATTATTATCATTTTTCCCCTGTATTCCTTCTTCGCCTTTTTTGTCTCCTCTCTCTCTCCCCCTTTCTTCCTTCCTCCTCTCCTTTTTCTCCTCTCCCCTTTTCTCTCCTCTCTCTTCCCTTTTGTTTCTTCCCCCTTTTTTTCATTCCCCCTCCTTTTTCTCCTTTCCCCCTCCCCCTTCCCCCTTTCTTTTTTACCGGGGGGGGGGGGCACGTGTCCCCCTGAATCCGCCACTGGTTACCATATATATCCTCAAATATTGGACAGCCCCGCATTTATTTATAAGATGATTCAGTGAACAAAATTATCATTGTTCGACATTATCAGTTGATCATCAGCAATCTGGTAAATGATGTACCCCTACCAAAAAGATCAGCCCTCATCATCTGATCTTTTCTTCCATGTGTAGGCTGTGGAACCAATTTCACCTCGCATGCTGGGTTTATATCCTCACCAAACTACCCTGAAAAATATGACAACAACGCGGACTGTACTTTCAGCATTACAGGAGAGGCTGACAAGAACGTCACTGTTGCCTTCGATCATTTCGACGTCGAGCAGCATACGGATTGTGACTACGACTCACTGAAGGTACGTCTGCTTTTATATACAATTTGTGCTCCTCAGTTTTCCTGCTTGATTTTCTGCACAATTGGTGTTTCAACTGCACATTAATTCATAATAGCAGGGAGTGGACCCAGAAGATTCATCGGAAGTAATGACAATTTTGATTTCCAGTGAGTTTTTGTAAATAGAACTTTGTGAAGTCTCTCATCTGCTAATGTAGGCTATACTATGCTAACTGACAGCACATACGGGATGCCAGTACACTGAATCTGTATGCACTGATGACAATGGAGATGTTCCGGAAATCAAGAATGGGCCTCCCTGCATGGCTTCCATTAACCCACATTCTTTTCCTTTTTGGATTTGTAGTATAGACTTCCGGGGGTGGGCTGCTAGAAAATTTGCACCCCGTATTCGATCAGGTATATAATAATCTACATTTCATGCGATTTTCAGCAAAATTAAGGCAAATGGGAATTAGCGGCGAATGTATTAAAGCCCAAAACCCCATTCACCGATATACTCTCCACGTTATTCGCTATGAACGAAAATATTTGTTCTGGACAGTGGTTGATATGCGCTCAAATAAAACCTTTTTAATGTCGGCTGCTAGAATTTTTGCACCCCGTATTCGATGAGGTATATAATAATCCATAGGCGCCGGAAGTGGGGGGGCAGGGGGGGCAGCTGCCCCCCCCCAATCAAAAAAGTGGGGGGGCAAAACGCATTTTTGCCCCCCCAAAACGCCCCCCCCCCCCCTCCAAAAAAAAAAAAAAAAGCAGTAAAGGAGTAAAGATGGTTTGTATTTTTAACCCAAAAGAACATAACAATAATAAAACCTGAATTAAATGACGCATGAAATTCCATTCAAAGAAAAGGAAAGTTAACAGGAATTAAATTTCCTAAACATTGCGCATGCTACCTATATTTATCAATGGAGGTTTTTATAATAGCGATACGCGCATATCGTAGACATATTGCGAGAGAATGGGAAAGCGTGTCTGTTTTTTGTTATAGGGGTGAGAAGCTTATGAGCCCCTGAACGCTGGCGTACTGAGGGGGGGGGGGGTATTTTTTTTATTCGATACCAGTGATTTACAAATGTTGCTGAAATGACATGATTTTCCGGTATATTTTCTCTTTTTTTTTGTAAGTCATACCTTTTTATGCGTTTGTTGGAAAATTAGAAATTCCCAAATTTACAGTCGGGCGAAAAATATGCTTATTTAGAAGCATTTATGTTAGGGTCTGCAGAACGGCCGGGCTCGGGGACTCGTGCCACCCTCAATTGTTGAAAAAGTTTGTTACAGAGAAAAAGAAAGAAAGAGAGAGAGAAAAAATAAGTGACCTTCTAATGTCACAAATGAGGTATCAAAATATGCTCATCTGACCGTAATTAAATACCTAAAACCCCCGAGCTTCCGGGGGCTCTGCCCCCTGGACCCTAACAAGGGCCCTAAGGCGGGGCCCTGGATGCTCATCTGACCGTAATTAAATGTCTAAGACCCCAGAGCTTACGGGGGCTACGCCCCCAGACCCCACCAAGGGCCCTAAGGCGGTCCCCTGTATGCTCATCTGACCGTTATTAAATACCTAAAACCCCTGATCTTCCGGAAGCTCTGCCCCCCAGACCCCACCAAGGGCCCTAGGACGGTCCCTTGTATGCTCATCTGACCGTAATTACATACCTAAAACCCCGAGCTTCCGGGGGCTCTGCCCCCTTGAATCCCACCAAGGGCCGTAAGGCGGGGCCCTGGATGCTCATCTGACCGTAATTAAATGCCTAAAACCCCAGAGCTTACAGGGGGCTCTGCCCCCGGACCCACCAAGGGCCCTAAGGCGGTCCCCTGTATGCTCATCTGACCGTTATCAAATACCTAACAAAACCCGAGCTTCCGGGGCTCTGCCCCCTGGACCCCACCAAGGGCCCTAAGGCGGGGCCCTGGATGCTCATCTGACCGTAATTAAAGGTCTAAAACCCCAGAGCTTACGGGGGCTCCGCCCCTAGACCCCACCAAGGGCCCTAAGGCGGTCCCCTGTATGCTTATCTGACCGTTATTAAATACCTAAAACCCCCGAGCTTCCGGGGGCTCTGCTCCCTGGACTCTCCACCAATTAGTGGCCTGCCAGTGTCACAAATAAGGTATCTAAATATGCTTATCTGACCATAATTTGAATGCCTAAAACCCCTAAACTTCTGGGGGCTCAGCCCCTGGACCCCACGCCATTTTACGCTCTACCTGATTGTTAATAATCCACTTTGAAAAACGTTCCGCGGGGCCTGCCCTGCATGTAACGTGTAAGAGTGATGGTGATGCAGATTTCTCTTCTGCCCCCCCCCCCTTCCAAACGTTTTTGCTCGTTACGTCACTGCCCCTGGAAGGTGAGCCCCTGGAATGTTTGCCCCCCCAATCCCAAACTGCTTCCGGCGCGCCTGTAATAATCTACATTTCATGTTTAAGCACATTTAAAGCAAATGGGAAATTAGCAACGAATGTATTAACCCCCACCCCTTTCTATATACTCTAGACGTTATATGCGCCAAACGTTTAGATTTGTTCTGGACATTGGTTGATATGCACTCAAATAAGACCTTTTTAACGTCGGCTGCTAGAAAATTTGCACCCCGTATTCGATCAGGTATACAATAATCTACATTTCATGTGAGTTTAAGCACATTTAAAGCAAATGGGAAATTAGCAACGAATGTATTAATCCCCACCCCCTTCCAAATACTCTAGACGTTATATGCGCCAAACGTTTATGTTTGTTCTGGACATTGGTTGATATGCACTCAAATAAGACCTTTTTAACGTCGGCTGCTAGAAAATTTGCACCCCGTATTCGATCAGGTATATAATAATCTCCATTTCATGTGATTTTCAGCACATTTAATGCAAATGGGAAATTAGCAACGAATGTATTAACCCCCACCTCATTCTATATACTCTAGACCTTATATGCGCCAAACGTTTAGGTTTGTTCTGGACATTGGTTGATATGCGCTCAAATAAAACCTTTTTATTGTCGGCTGCTAGAATTTGTGCACCCCTTATTCCATGAGGTATATAATAATCCACATTTCATGTGAGTTTAAGCACATTTAAAGCAAGTCTGCACTATAAGACTACCATAGGCCATGTACTATAGCTGCTCCTGACGCAACCAGTAGGTAGCTGGGCTAGGCTTCTCTCAAGGCACAATGATTTTTTTGATAAAGTGTCAAATTAGGGTCTGTGCTTGCAGACTAGGGGTGTGCCGCTCTAATGGGTCACCTTTTCAACAACAAAAATCCCTAAACATGCGTCCAATTTTTCACAAAACTATCCCTAAACCACACATAGCTGCATTACTATCCTGGCCGTGTATTAAAACCTGTTCTATTGATTCTCAACATTTCAAACACCACTGTACAAAACTCAACTGATTTCACTCAAAATCGGTACTGTACGCATTAAACTTGACTCTCTATGCTTTGCTGGAGTGCCCTAAACATGGGTCCGGTTTTTCAATATTACCTGAAAAATGGGCTTAACTTCGAGAAAAATCTCCCCAAAATGCCCCTTAAAAATGGGTAGGAGTTTCGAGGTTTGAGCGGCACATTACCGTACAAACCAAATCTGAGTACCCCCCCCCCCCCTGGAGTAGACTAGCAGCATGCATTAATTCATAAAGCCTGTTCATTGGATAAGAGGTTGTTATGAAAAGAAATGGTTCACTTACTTAGGCGCGGATCTAGGATTTCTTAGGGGAGGGGGTCCAACTTTTTTTTATTTTGCTCCCCAAAATTTGAAAATCGCACCGGCCGAAAAGTGGCTCAGTGGGGGGGGGGGGGGTAGTGAGCACACTTTTTTTTTTTGGACTTCGAAAATTTAAAAATTTGCACCCCCCCCCCCCAAAAAAAGGTAAAAATCACGTGTTTTTACACCCCCCCCCCCCCCCCCCCCCCCCCCCTATCCGCCACTATCCGCCACTGCACTTACCCACTGGAAATACTTGAAAATTCCATCTCTTATTATGTGGCTTCTATTCGGCTTCTAATGATTATTGTGATTAAGTGTTGGGATGATGTATTACGTATTATTGTGGTCCGGTCATGATTTTCTAAGGGTTATACAACACGGTATGAAATTGCCCTTGACAAAGTCTTTGAGATCGTGTTGTATAATCATGTTTGTAATCAGTTGTAAACTACACACATTTAACGATGACGCATATTTGCGATACAATTTGGTCTAGATCTAGATGTGGGTGAAAGTGAACATAATCTTACAAAACACTATATCACTCACATTTATAGAACTATGAAACCCTATATGGAAAGGGGAGAGGAGGGGTAACAATCTCACTTTTATTAGCGTGGAGCATGTATCGAATCACCATGTATGAGGGCACTCCTATTTTATGGTATCCAACATTTCCCACATTAAATTGTGTTGAATGTCAGACCAAGGGTACATGCTTTCGGGTTACCGAGAGCATGGGGTTGTATTTAACAATTATAATGATAAATTACAATTGTCTTGCTAACTTGATTAACTTCTTATTATTCTCATTTCAGATATATGATGGCGATACGGATGAGGGCTCTCCTCTGGCTACCCTGTGCGGTATAGACATGCCTAATCCGGTCAGTTCAACAATAGGTTCTGGGCTCTTCTTCCGATTCAAGTCTGATGCTAGTGTCACTCGCACGGGCTTCAGCGCTTTTTTCCGCGTTCAATAAATCTTCTTAAATAGTCAGTGTTAGATGGTCATGCATGGTCACGGATTCGGTAAAGATGTGATTTTCTTCAGTACAAATTTTAGTAAAAATTAAGTAGTATTTCGAGTAGGATTACAACCTTATTAGAGAACCTAATAACTCGTTTCATAACCAAATATTTAAATCGATTCTGCGCTTGTCTGCAATTAATATCACGCTATATTCATGTAGTCTGCAATTAATATCACGCTATATACATGTAGGCCTCCTTCAGTATAAAACAACACTGAAGCAGTGCTATAGATGATCATCAAAGTGTTTACATTGTCAAATTATAGTCGTTGAATCTCCCACTAATTTGTAATGAATGATTTAAAAGTTTTAGCAAAGGAAGGTATAGTTTTACCACTCTGCTTACTAATTGTAAATAATGATCATATGACACTTTTATTCTTTACATGTTTAATTTGATAAGTGAAGGTTTTGATTGCTGTCACAGACAGTGTTGCAGTGAAACAGTCCGATTCAGAACGAATAATCATTACAATATTATTGTCTGGCATGTTGCAGACACACAGGCAACTTTACACAAGCATATAACTACAATAGTAATTAGAGATTCAATATGAGAAGTTAGTATAAATCTTTTTTTAAATCCCAACGGTAGCTGTTGTTACTTATCTTATTTCATTAATATATATCAAAATAAAATGTCCACGAAAATAATACAGTGTACGTGTTTATATAATAGATAACTTAGTGGAAATATGGACTCAGGCGAGCTAAATAGTGGTATATCCAGATTATGATAAGGGGCAGAATCCCCTCAGGGATGTGGGGAAGGGAAGTGAAGCAGAATTCTTTAAAGATGGATTGTGCCCGGTATCACTTTTTGTACCTCAGTCTTCACTCTTCAAACACGGTTGGAAAAGGGGTATGGGTTAGCTCCTTATGTTGGTCGCATAGCGACGAGACGATTTTTTTGGGGTTGCTATTTTAAACCTTTGTAAGTTCATTTATTTATTTATTTCGTTTTATTTCAACAGGGTAGCCCCATCAGTAGTCAAATAAGTGATGTTTTCCTGGCATCTACTAGCACAATGGAGACCATAAAAGCAGTGCATGAAAACGTCTTTTAAAATTAAGTCAGTTTAAAACACGGTTATATCCAGAGTTTTTCCTACGCACATCAAATTTCACTTGGCAGCCCAAGGGGGGGGGGGGTAAACACCCTTAACCCCCAACCCCGTAGATCCGCCACTGATTATTAATGACAAACATTGGAAAAAACTAATCTGATCGATTCCTTAATTCTCCTTACTATGTTATTACCATTTCATTACATTTTGGTGAATGTAAATCGTCACAAAGCAATAAATTAGCATTATTGACCATTCCAGACATGTAAGTGTAGAAAGATTTCTAAAAATCTGTCTTATGTATCATTTTCAAGGAAATATGGTTGGGAAAATTCAAAATGGCTAGGATAAATTACTGTTTATCACTGACGCCTTCAAAGAAACCATAAATAACTTTGTGGTTTGAGAATTTTCTCAGGATTTTTTGATGCTAGAGGGTAAGTACAGTAGAAGGAATATAATAAGTAACATTTCATACAAAAGTTACAGTTTTTTCATTAACCCTTGACAATGTTACCGAGTCACTTTTAAAGGGGTGTTTTTCAAGCACTGATCGCACAAAAACTTAAAGAATGATACCTTTTCAGGCTCACAGGTTTCGACGTTTTCTTACATAGTATGTATTATGATGTATTACATCATTGGGGTACGTCCATTTCAGAAAAGGTGCGACACGCCATTAGGGTCATTTCAGAAAAGGTGCGATACGCCGGGTCCATTTCAGAGGTTGATAGGGACACGGGTGGGTAGCACTTGTGTATGAGAGTGACCCCACCTGTGGGGTGCGAAATATTTGTTCCCAAAAAGGTTAATTTGCCATTACTAATATTTCCGGTCTTCTGATTGGCTAATATGTTTTACGTCATCAGCAATGACGTAACCGTTATAATAATCACGCAACCCCATCTTTCATCAACCCTTCGTTGGCTCAATCGGCAAGGAAAGCGTAATACAATCTTAAGCTGTGGGTACGAATCCCAGTAATTATCCTGTCCTATTTTTGCCTCTTTAAATAGTGAGGCAAAGCAATAAATAATCAAAGTCTAATTGTTTGTGACCTCTTTCCAAGCTGCTAATTACGTAAAACATATCAGCTAATCAGAAGACCGGAATGGTAAACCTGTCACCCTTTTTTTTTGGAAGAACAAAATCGCCCCCGGATACCCATATGACCCCCTGGGTAGAGAGTGCCAAATAACAGTAGAATATATTTGTATATCTCGTGATCTAAAATACAGAGTTTATTTAGTATCAAGTGTATTTGTCTTCCAGAACACACATGTGAGAAAATATAACAGAGTATAATCATTTAACAGTACAATCTAGAATAAAGAAAGACGAGGAGACCTTGGTTGAAGCACAGCTTGTTAAGTTAAGGCCCCCTGATATGATGTGACAAAGATAACTGATTAATGAATACCACAACAAATATGGAATATACAAAACCATTTAAAAAATACTCTCAGAAAACAGCTACCCAACGATGCATCGAGCACAGCATGGATGACCACAACAAGTATACCCGAAGATGCGCACATCCCCCATCACACCGGGTGAGCTAACAAACTCACCTTGTGTGTGAAAATATATGCCATATGAGCACGAACAACCAACCCATTGGAGGACGATCTAATATGTACAAACCCAGGCGCGTAGCCAGGGGGCGGTGGGGGCGGTCGCCCCCCCCCCCCCCCAAAAAAAAAAAAAAAAAAAAAAATGCCGGCCAAAAAAAAAAAAGAGAGAGAAAGAAGAAAGGAAGAGGACATAGGAAGAAAAGGGATTAAGAGCCGAGAACGGTACAACGAATCGTCTTCTTTCTCTAATAATTTAATGAAACGTCAAAGCCTTCGCGCTGGAGGGGGGAGGGAAACTGAATTCAGACAAGGATTAAGAGTTGAGAATGGTACAACGAATCGTCTTCTTTCTTTAATAATTTAATAAAACATCAAATAAACTGAATTTAGACAAGGATTAAGAGTCGAGAACGGTACAACGAATCGTCTTCGTTCTCTAATAACTTAATAAACCCCCCCCCCCCCCCCCCCTCCCTGCACTCACTAGGAAAATGTTACATTGTATTGCTACAATACGCTACGTTGACTCCCTACAAGAAAAAGAACGAAATATGGGGATGAAATACAATAACACCAGCTGGTTACTTACTAACAAACATTTATTGTTTTATTAGCTGTCAGGTAAAATAACCACTACTATCATCACTAATTATGTTCCCTCTCTGGACCGAACAACCCAAAACAGTTTGCATCCTACTGAGAAGCTGAATACTGACGTCAACGTAATATCCCTGGACCTTTCTGCGTGAATACTTTTTTTTTCTAGTATAAAACAATTTAACGAATTATAACACACTCGATAAATGATCGATATGTTTCTACAGTACTTTGGAGAATAGAGAAAGTGCATTATAGTATAGATATATCGACTGCTATGAGAAGCCTGGCTGTTTTTAAAGACCCCGAGGCGCGCCTTGGCGTCCCCAAGAGCCAGTATATAAACCGCCAGGCCTCGAATATTAAAGCAATCGATATATCTTTCATATACCGAATTGACACAAAAATCTACCAAGAACTCCTACCATATCCTTTTCTTGACTAAAGATTGGTTAAAACATCACAGAAAATCTGAACCACTGTCTGTTAATCTTCGCTGGAAAGATGACTGAATGTTACAATCATTTGGGAATCGCAGACAAAAAGCACTGTATGGTATCCACGCTCGCACAAAGTAACTTTTAACACGTAAACCAATGGGAATCTCATCCAAATTTTACTATTTTCCCGGTACCCGGAATCAAGGTCGGGAATGTTACTCATGAACTATTGACTGTTACTGCATGGCATTGTTCGATTCCAATTTCGACCAATCTGATGGCTAGATTTCTAAAGAGAGTTAATGGTCTGTTGATAACAATGAAGAAGCACGGTTACAGAAAATCATACCAGAGAGGATAAAACATTGTATATTGTTTATATGCAAGGGTTTGTTCCGGTATCGCCACGTGTTCATTTATTCACCACTTTAACACATTCCACCCAGCACTCAAGTTCACTCACATGATCTCCGACCCCCCCCCCCCCCCCCTCCCCCAATCATTAGGGCGCTTTAGCAACGCGACGGAGAAATCACTCAACCGAGATAGTCTTGTATTGTACTCTGCTCCCGTCTTCATTTGTAAGCTGTCTATACAGTGTGTCCCGAAAAAAACTATACACTTTTGAAATGGCTGCCGAATAACAAATATATAATTCTAGGGGAAAAGTTATATATGTATGGAAAGCTCATATACTCAACTTTCATATGACACCAAAAGTTGCGAAAATAATTCATGCCCGGGTGAGCACTGCTCACTTTTGTAAAGGGTATGAAAATTAGGTTGCGCAGGTATTAGCCTTCCAATTTGTGAGAGGTAAATCCTTTGGAGCTTACGGAATTGAGGATGATATGACCAATTTATGATCAATTGTGATGAGTTTGGAGTTGCTGAGTGAAATTTTGGTTTATGGGATTAATATTTTATGCATGAGTGAACAGGAATTGCATTTTTTATTGTAGCACTGTAACTTCCCTGTTAGACTCAGTGGTGTGTTCATGGAAGTCAGGATGGGGTGATGGTACATGTTGTAATTTCTATGTTACAAACTGTTATTCTCTTACATCTGTGAGTTTGAATAAAAACCTTCACCCCACATTTCAATTATTGTAAGATTAGTTGAACATCTCATTGATTTATTCAATACCCAAGTAGGGATAATGTAAATCGAATATTCAAATACGGTTTGTTAAAAAAAGGAATGTCCAAGATGTCGGCTACTTATTCTTCAGGTAAATGGTAACTGAAATGTGGGGTGAAGGTTTTTATTC